TATGTTATTTGTATCTATAGATAGCATGACTTCTCTCTGTATATGTGTTATTTATATCTATAGATAGCATGACGTCGTCCTGTATATATGTTATTTATATCTATAGATAGCATGACGTCTCCCTGTATATATGTTATTTATATCTATAGATAGCATGACGTCTCCCTGTATATATGTTATTTGTATCTATAGTTAGCATGACGTCTCTTGTATATATGTTATTAATATCTATAGATAGCATGACATCTCCTACTGAATAAATAGAATAGAAATTATTAAGTATTATTATTTCGTATCTTTTGTTACAGATCAAGCTGAATGTGTTGCAAGAAATTACACTTTCTTTACTGGTACAAACTATTGTCTCAAATTCATAACTACTCTATTACCGTGGACTGATGCTGAACAATACTGTAGACAAGATGGTGGACATTTAGTTTCAGCTGAAACCCCAGAAAAGTTGAACCATGTAATATTGACAACCAACAGTAAGTACTAATTCCTGTTTACAAATACAAGCCAGATACAACCACATTTTACAATAGGTGGTCCGGGAACAGAGAGAGAGAGAGAGAGAGAGAGAGAGAGAGAGGTGAGAGAGAGAGAGAGGAATGGGGTTTAAGGTCCACTCGGGACTAACACATGATTCAATTTTAATTCAATATCTTGCTTGCGCGTAGGGTTCTTTAGCAGTGGAAGGAAACCGGAGGACCCGGAGAAACCACGCCAGTTGACTCAATGACAGACCTCATGATACAGCGCGCGCACACTAACCATTCGGCCATCCAACCCTCCGTCCGGGGACCAGGGGATATCAATAGGGCTCACCTTCTCATTGTCCCAACGCTTCACATCGAATTAGAAAGAAAGCAAATCTGTTTAAAATGTAACCGAATGCTTCCCACCAAATCAGCAAATGATCTAGTAAAACCCGTGGCATCTATCGCATTCATAAAGTTTTCTGCTAAGGGGGCATAACTCTGAAACGAAAGCTTCCACAACACCGATTATCAATAGGGTTCGTCCTCTCACGACCCCAATGCTTTGAACCAAATTAAAGAAAAATATATGTTAAGAAATAAAGACTTTATGGTGTTCACATGGTTCTCGAAAAGGCGGCATAACTCTGGAACGGTCCGATACACACCAAAATAAAAGTCACCCGAGAACCTTAAAGGGACAAGAACACTCTTGCTGGTTTGACAGCTCCAGAAAATAAATAATGGCCTTATTCTAAGTACTAGATGTTTAAGTGTCCAACCTGTTGTGTAAATTATCCATTACATCCTATTTTACTTGTCCAGAGTGTTCGAAAATATTTTTAAATCCAAGTCACATTTGAAAAGGTTTATGTTAGGCTTTTCAAATCATTTAGTTGAATTTTTCCAATTTTTTAAATTAGGTGTGTTAAGATGAAATTTGTATCACCAATTAATTGGAATATATTGTAAAATAGTACAATTTGTTGACCAGAATAAAGATTGGGACATATTATTCAGTTACAACAAGAGTGGTATTGGGCCTTTAAGGTGTATCTGAAGTTTGATCTGAATCGGACAAACATTGCGGTCTGTAACAAAGCAAGCCCATAATCAACTCTCGATGGCATCGGATACTCGAGATTTTAACTAGATTAGAACGGTTCGCCATTTAAAAATTTAATTTAAAAATAGGAAAGCACACAATGCACACATCTTGTCCAAACTACAAACAGTGATAATTTGGGTCAGAATAAAGTAATTTTTCTGAAGGGTCCACAAGTTAGGGGAAGGGAGTCTGTTTATGTTACAGTTGTATTGTTACAGCTGATGGTTCGTATGTTAACGATACATTATGGGAGATTCGGTAACGAGTTGGCAGTTCTCACTATAATAGTTAAAAACTAGATAATGTAAAGGCAACTTGCTGAAAATTTCAGTCAAATTGATCCACTATGAACCGAGAACTAAGCGACTGAAATTCCCATAAGCCTCGCTCATCATTACTAAAGTCAGTACGATAAACAGCATAGTCTCGATTATCCATTTAATCGTTTAATCGAGAAGGAAAGTTATGCAGTAAATCGGCTTACAATCCACTACAGATCGCAGGCTAGCGCTGCCGTCTAGAGATGATTATGGCCTGGATAGGTTAATTAATGTCTAATTAATAATTTAGATAACATTTCAGGCCTAAAGAAAGACCTAAAATAGGCAGATTTAGCTCTTGCATAATGTATGTATAAGATACGAATTAGTAACCTTATGAAGAATATAATTTATTGTGCGTTATCTGTTTCAGACATGAACCATGTCTATCTGGGTGCTACAGCCATGGCAACTAATAATTCGGTATATAGATGGCTTAGTCATGAACGTGTTAATAGCGCCTTCTGGAAAGATACTGAACCAAACAGACTGGACATTGAAACAGTTGCTGAACTCCAGGCCTCTGGATTATTTAACAATAAAATTAAAGAAGTTCCATTTATGTTCGTATGTGAGATTCTAGTACATGGCTAGATGCAGATTATAATTTATCACCCAATAATACATTCTACAGTAGACATCGCTTGTGTGATATATTTCATAATCTACTGCGATATCTACTTATCGCTTTACATGAATTTGATTGGTCAGTTGAAAAGGAACTACTTTTTTTATTTTCAAAGAACACTTCATTTTATTATTAAACGTAACTTCTTTTTTATTAAATTCAAAACGAACTATTTTTATTTAATTGACTTTGATGTAGACACTGAGTCAATATAAAGGACTTTGCAGTGGTTGGATTGCTGTCAAAAAATGATGTATCACTACGCCATAAAGTAATCAGGTTCAGTAAAAGTGAAATCTATAGCAAAGAATTATATTTATTTATTTGTGCATGCAAGAAAGGAGTGGGTGATAAATGAAATCTCGTAAAAAATTCTTTTTAATTTGACATTCAATACACCAATCTTCATCAAGAAAACAGAATAAGCTTTTTGAACGGGATAGTAGATTTAGAGACACGATTCTTGCAAGAACTCATAAAAAAGTTGAAAACTTTCATCATTAGGGCATGGGTATACATGTATACCCCAGAAAAGGGCAGGGTACCATTTGTATACCCTGGTATCCGGGTTCCAACGCCCCTGTGTGGTCTATATTGTCACACTGATCCGCAGTGAATATTCGCTTGGCCTCTACAATCACTGATAAGGATAACATCGATGTAACTTAATGACTACAAAATATTAACTTTTTTCTTTCGACAAATTAAATTCTGAAACATTTTTTTTTAGTATTAGAAAAATAAATAAAGGTGTTTGAAGTATATCTTGATAAAAAATATTCCATATTTAGCGTAAATAGGTACAGAAAATAGTACACGGAGGCGTAAAATGGGTAAAACGATATAATTCTGCCCGTACCAGTTCATATTACTACGTTCGATGTAAACAACGCACGTGTGACCATCAATTTGACGTTTTTTTCTGTTTGTTTACTCTGAATTCTTCCAGAAGTACATTTTTTACCGTCTAATCTGATTAACCTGCTCGTGTTTGTTTTAAAACAACAAAAACAAGCCACAGAAGTAATCTTTTTTGGCGTTATCGATGCCATCTTGCTTTGTTGGTAAACATTGTGATGTGACGTCACCCTTAGAACTACAGCGGTCTGACCTTTTAAAGGTCAGTCATCTTGGGCAGAAATAAAAGACGGATGTCGCATTAGGTCTGTAAAACAGATTGCTATATTGTAATAGATTCTAGTACATGACTGGAATCAGACTTTGTGTCCTCTATTGTAATAGATTCTGTGCCTTTTCCTATTAACAACCTGTTATATAGATATTCAAAATAATAAATGAAATGAAATGGGGTTTAACGTCCTACTGTCAAGTAGCGTAAAAATATGGTATATCAAGGTTGTGGACCCTGTAGAGCTCACAATTTTTATCCGATTTTGTTGAAACTTGAAATGTAAGTTTATAACCCAAAGATCTTGGTTCCTGTCGATATTCGCGCATATCGGACCGTAACTAACTGAATTATGGCCCCTGATTTTACGAAAAATCGCGTTTTTAGCTTGTGGACCCTATAGAGGTCATAATTTTTATCCGATTTAAAAAAAACATATTTCTATATCACCATTACACCCTAAGGACGGCTGAGTTCGATTTTCGTGAAAATCGGCCCAAAATTGACAGACAAAATGGCCGCCCTTCGTTCTCAAATAGCATAAAAATATGGTATATCAAGATTGTGGGCCCTGTAGATGTCACAATTTTTATCCGATTTTGTTGAAACTTGAAATGTAAGTTTATAACCCAAAGATCTCGGTAACTTTCGATATTTGCGCATATCGAATTGTACTTTTCTGAACTATGGCCCTTGATTGTAGGAAAAATCACTTTCTTTTTAGCTTGTTCTCTATCCATCTCTCAAAAATGTGGGCGTATCCTGCCTGGCAGCCGCTGGTTTACATATAAACATGTCCTCCGCTTTTATTAGTGTGTGGGATTTGACTCTATAGAAAGAGTGAAGCAACAATTTTTCAAAGACCCAATATTGTCTTAAGAACCAAAGTCTTACAAGTGATATAAAATTTCCTTCAAAGCACATGCATGGCATATATTTATATATATATATATAGTCTGTCTTCCCTTGTGTGCACAGTAGGATGTTAAACCCCGTTTTATGAGAGAGAGAGAGAGAGAGAGAGAGAAAGAGAGAGAGATGGGGTTTAACTCCACTCGACACAAACTCGGTCATTTCGAGACTGACATGTTTCATTTTTATTTCAATAATTCGCTTGTGCGTAGGGGTCTTTGACAGTTGGAGGAAACGGAGGAACCGGAGGAAACCATGAGGTTGGAAAGGCGACCCTACTCCTCGTCTCATACAACAGGGGATTCGAAACCCCGCCAGTTGACTCAATGACAGACCTCATGATACAGCGCACACATGCTAACCATTCGGCCATCCAACCCCCCTAAACCCTGTATTATATTAATATGAGAAGACAACCCTGAAATATAGTAAAATAGTTTAATTAATCACACTTTGTATAAAACATTCCTTATAACAGTCAAACTTTTTACAAATAAAATATTTATCTACATCATGTCTTGTCGCCTTACTATTTCTTGTCGCGTTGGCAGGGGTGGTTTCTATTTATTTCTTGTCGAGCTGGCAAAGGTGGTTTCTACTTCTTGTCGCGTTGGCAGGGGTGGTTTCTATTAATTTCTTGTCGCGCTGGCAAAATTGTTTTCTATTTCTTGTCGCGTTGGCAGGGGTGGTTTCTATTAATTTCTTGTCGCGCTGGCAAGCGTGGTATATATTTATTTCTTGTCGCGCTGGCAAAGGTGGTTTCTATTTCTTGTCGCGTTGGCAGGGGTGGTTTCTATTAATTTCTTGCCCCGCAGGTAAGCGTGGTTTATATTTATTTCTTGTCGCGCTGGCAAAGGTGGTTTCCATTTCTTGTCAGGTTGGCAAGGGTGGATTCTGTTTATTTCCTGTCGGGTTGACAAGGGTGGATTCTATCTTATTTCTTGTCGCCCTGTCAAGGGTGGTTTCTATTTTTTGTTGACTAACTGAAGAAATATGTTGAATCAAGAACATTCGACAGATCAAAGTTACCTGAAAAATAAAAGAAAACATTAGATGATGAAAAAGATAACTTTGTAAAATGTTCACATTACAGGTTGTCTTTTAATGTGGATGTGTTGGGTTCTAAACAAATGAAATGAAATGGGGTTTAACATCGTACTGTTTAGCTCCGAACTGGGCTAATGAAGACGAACATACGCCATACAGTGTGCTATGACGGAAATGTTGCCCTGATAGCGGCACTACGGCCTACTCTTATATCGAATCCAAACTGTCAAGGGATCATTTACGTGCACGCCAATTTGCACACGGGACCTCGATTTTTTCGTCCCCTCCGGACGACCAGGCAGTTGTCCTTGTCGGACCCTCCGTCCTGCATCACTGACAAGGGGAAATCATCCCGGAAAATCTGGATGCACTTTCTCGGCCAATGTAGGGGTCGAACACCTGACCTCCAGGCTAACGAGTCAGCGTCTTACCCACAAAGTACAAATTAGATGATTTTTGGTGATTTTAAACGCTTTTTACGAATTTTTAAACAAAGATTTGATATTCAGTATTCAATGAATGTGAAAGAAATTAGTGCTGAATACATAAGATTAAATAATTCCCAAATTATAGTGCTACTGCACGATATTTTTATTAATAATGGAGTCCGGTCAATACGGTCTAACCAAGTATGTATGATGTTATATGTATGGCTCCAACTCAATATGATGTTATACGTATGGCTCCAACTCAATATGATGTTATACGTATGGCTCCAACTCAATATGATGTTATACGTATGGCTCCAACTCAATATGATGTTATACGTATGACACCAACTCAATATGATGTTATACGTATGGCTCCAACTTAATATGATGTTATATGACACCAACTCAATATGATGTTATATTATATGTATGGCTCCAACTCAATATGATGTTACATGTATGACACCAAATGGCATCCTCGCTACAGATAAGGGGGCATAAATTATAGAGGACACCATAGAACAGGTGGCCTGATGTGACCTCACTGTTTACCTTAAAGCATTGTTCTTCTGTACATTCTGGTGTGTTGACAAACGTTAAGTTTTTGTCGTTGAAATGGAATTTAATCCCGATACATCGAAACACGGTTCCCTTACCATGAATAAGATCCCGTGGAACCGAGTTTTTACTAGCGATGCCTGGTGGGAATTCCTTCAACGAAGACGCCGATTCAGTATAATTTAATTATATGACTCCAATTCAATATGACGTTACCAAGTATGTATGACGTCAACTCAATATGGTGTTACCAGGTATGTATATGGAGTCAGGTATGTATATGGAGCTAGGTATGTATATGGAGCCAGGTATGCATGGAGCCAGGTATGTATATGGAGTCAGGTATGCATGGAGCCAGTATGTATGTATATGGAGCTAGGTATGCATGGAGCCAGGTATGTATATGGAGCTAGGTATGACTACTACTCACCTCTTTCAGGTACATTCATTAAAACTTCCTTTAATCTATTCATTGTGTCTGGACAATTGATGCTATAAAATAAAATACAGATATTATGTCTGGGCAATCAGGAGTTTAAAACATACACAGATATTGTGTCTGGAAAATTGGTATTATAAAACATACACAGATATTGTGTCTGGACAATTGGTACTATAAAAAAACACAGATGTTACGTCTGGACAACTGGTACTATAAAATACATTCAAAATGGCTAACAATGGACTGGTGGAATTTTACAAGATCAAATATTAGTATTGAACAACAAGTTTATATAACTTTCAACTTAATAGTCCAAAGTAAGGGCAATAACTCTGTAAATAATTAAAAGTAAGGGCAATAACTCTGTAAATAATTAAAAGAAAGTAGGAATAGAAAGGTCATCACTGATATTTCTCTGGGATACTTCTACCTACATTCTATCTATAACCTACCTTCTATCTATAACCTACCTTCTATCTAAAACCTACCTTCTACCTCTATCTATAAGATAAGATATTTCTACCTACCTTCTATCTATAACCTACCTTCTATCTATAACCTACCTTCTACCTCTATCTATAAGATAAGATATTTCTACCTACCTTCTATCTATAACCTACCTTCTATCTAAAACCTACCTTCTACCTCTATCTATAAGATAAGATATTTCTACCTACCTTCTATCTATAACCTACCTTCTATCTATAACCTACCTTCTATCTACCTAGCTTCTATCTATAAGATAAGATACCTCTACCTACCTTCTATCTATAAGAAATGTCTTGATTAAATAGTTGGATAGATCTTCTAATATCGGTTGATTATGTAAATTTACAAACTGTTCTCGGCATATCTAAAATATTCAAGTTTTAGGATTTTATTATATTTAGTTGCGAAAAGAAATGAAATTAAATCGGGTTTAACAGCCCACTTTTGTGCTGCGACTGGGCTAATGAAGTCAGGCATTCACTATGCTACGGCCTACTTTTATATTATACTAGCAGGATACCCGGCTTCGCTCGGGGGTAATAACTCCGAAACCGGAAGTAGTAGACTAACGCCACCTGGCCTATGTTACTCCCCGGTCCGAGATACCCCTATACCCCAAATTTCAGACTCAGGCAGACCTAGTGTAGCCGCCAACCCCGAACAGACCGGCTTTGCTCACCGGCTTCGCTCGGGGATCTTAACTCCAAAACCGGAAGTGGTAGACTAACGCCACCTGGCCTATGTTACTCCCAAATTTCAGACTCGGGGCAGACCTAGCCGCCAACCCCGAACAGACAGACAGACAAACGACAGTCACAAATATATATATAGATTCCAACTAAAGGGGGGTTTGGAAGGCTGAATGATTAGCACATGCCCGCTGTATCATAAAGTTTGTCATTGAGTCAACTGGCGTGGTTTCGATTCCCTGGTTGTACGTGACAAGGAGTAGGGTCGTCTGTCCAACCTCATGGGTTTTCTCCGGGCCCTCCGGTTTCCTCCCACTGCTAAAAACCCCTACCCAGAAGCGAATTATGGAAATATAATTGTACCATTTATTAGTCCCGAAATGACCTAGTTTGTTTGAGTGGACGTTAAACTCCATTTCTCTTCCTCTCTCTCGAACTGTAAAGGGTTCTCTTATGTGCATGCTAAAGTGTACACGGGACCTCGGTTTTCAGTACTATCCAGACGAATTTACACTGTCCTTTGTCGTGCCTTCTGTCCTGCACCACGGACAAGCGGGAACCATGCCGGAAAATCCTGATGAATTTTCTCGGCCAACGCATGACGTCCAAGTTTGAGAGCCAACGCCTGACGTCCAGGTTTGAGAGCCAACGCATGATGTCCAGGTTTGAGAGCCATCGTCCTACTCACTGAAACACCGTATGTGGCTCTCCAGGTTAGAGAGCCAACGTCTAATTCACTTAAACACTGTATGTGGCTCCTCTTGAATATTCAAGTTAATGTCTTGAAAATTCAAGTTTGTCTAGTTCAGGTGAGTTGGACGTTCAGCTGTCTAGTTCTAGTGTCTCAGTGAGTAAGATGTCCAGCTGTCTAGTACTGGTGTCTCAGTGAGTGGGACGTTCAGCTGTCTAGTACTGGTGTCTCAGTGAGTAAGACGTCCAGCTGTCTAGTACTGGTGTCTCAGTGAGTGGGACGTTCAGCTGTCTAGTACTGGTGTCTCAGTGAGTGGGACGTTCAGCTGTCTAGTACTGGTGTCTCAGTGAGTAAGACGTTCAGCTGTCTAGTTCTAGTGTCACAGTGAGTTAGATGTTCAGCTGCCTAGTTCTAGTGACTCACTGAGTAGGACGTTCAGCTAACTAGTTCTAGTGACTCAGTAAGCAAGACGTTCAGCTGTCTAGTTCTGGTGTCTCAGCAAGTGGGACCTTCAGCTGTCTAGTTCTGGTGTCTCAGCAAGTGGGACCTTCAGCTGTCTAGTTCTGGTGTCTCAGTGAGTAAGATGTCCAGCTGTCTAGTACTGGTGTCTCAGTGAGTGGGACGTTCAGCTGTCTAGTACTGGTGTCTCAGTGAGTAAGACGTTCAGCTGTCTAGTTCTAGTGACTCACTGAGTAGGACGTTCAGCTAACTAGTTCTAGTGACTCAGTAAGCAAGACGTTCAGCTAACTAGTTCTGGTGAGTGGGACGTTCAGCTGTCTAGTTCTGGTGTCTCAGTGAGTGGGACGTTCAGCTGTCTAGTTCTGGTGTCTCAGTGAGTGGGATGTTCAGCTGTCTAGTTCTAGTGTCTCAGTGGATGGGACGTTCAGCTGTCTAGTTCTGGTGTCTCAGCGAGTGGGACATTCAGCTGTCTAGTTCTGGTGTCTCAGTAAGTGGGACGTTCAGCTAACTAGTTCTAGTGACTCAGTGAGTAGGATGTTGGCTCACTAACTAGGATAAATCTCAGTCGTACACTTGACTTACAATTAAACACCAGATTAGAAATACAAGGGTCAATTACCTTATTCATAACAGGTACATCAGTGGCATGCGTCCAATAACAATCATGTACTGATACGTATGTTATACCCTTTCTGAAATATAAAATCAAATGGGGTTTAACGTCCTACTGTTGTGCTTCTATACTGGGCTAATGAAGATGATCATACGCCATACAGTGTGCTATGAGGGAAATTTTGCCCGGGCAGCGGCACTACGGCCTGCTCTTATATCGAATTTCAAAATTAAATGAAATGGGGTTTAACGTCCTACTTTTTTTTTTCCTAAACTGGGCTAATAAAGACAGGCATACGCCATAAAATGTGCTAGCCTGGACGTTGGGTGGTCGATCCCTGTATTGGCCAAGAAAGTTCATTCATATTTTCTGGTGTGGTCCCCCCTTGACAGTGTTGCAGGATGGAGGGCCTGACAAGGACAGCTGTCTAGTCATTGGGATGGAAACCAATGTCCTGTGTACACTTTGGCGTGCACGTAAAACATCCCATGACAGTTGGAATTCGATATAAGAGTAGGCAGTAGTTCCGCTGTCCTCCGCAGAATTTCCCTGATAGCACACTTTATGGCGTCAGCCCATCTTCATTAGCCCAGTGCAGAGTAGAACAAAATGTAAACTAATCGAGCTGAATGGTTTGTAAGTATTTACCTTAAACAATATAAAGATGTCAACATCATATGGGTTGAATCAAGGGAATGAATAAAATTTGGAGGAAATGCGTTCATTTGTTTCTGAATATTTGGTTTCCTGAAAGAAAATAAAAGATGGTTTATATGCAAAAAGAAATAGCTCTGTGAACACAAACCTTATTTTTTTATTTTAAAGTAGCAAAGAGACAATTCTGTGTTATGATGTCACATTACAGGTAGACCTAATACTGCCAGTGAACTTAAAGATACATTTATGGGAGATTAGATAACGAGTTGGCAGTTCTCACTATAATAGTTAAAAACTAGATAATGTAAAGGCAATTTGTTGAAAGTTTCAGTCAAATTGATCCACTATGAACCCAGAAATAAGCGATCGAAAGTTCCGCATAGCCTCGGTCATCATTACTAAAGTCGGTACGACAAAAATCATAGTCTCGATTATCCATTTAATCGTTAAAACGAGAAGGAAAGTTATGCAGAAAATCAGATCATAATCCAACAATTATCGCAGGATAGCGCTGACATCGTGAGTTGATTATGTTCTAGATACGTTAATTAATGTCTAATTAATCGTTTATATAACATTCAGGCCTAAAGAAAGACCTGCAATAGGCAGATTTAGCTCTTGCATAATGCATGTTTAAAGGTCACTCATCTAGCAGCACAGAGTTAAAAAAAAAAGGTTTTCACGAAATGAAAATGAAATGAAATGAAATATGGTTTTATGGCAGTCATCTCTAATCGGGCTATATTGCGCCAAACATTTGGTGAAGATATTCGAGACAAAATAAAAGAAATCACAGAAATATATTTATATCCATAAATAAAAACAAATATCACAGATAATATATAAAATTAAATATCAAATACTTTATGAATATAAACAATTAAAATGAAAGAAAACGGGTTACAAATATACAATTAAAACTTATAGTAAAATTTTGTCTCTTTTAAAAAGTTTAGGATCTTACAATATAGCTCCGGTTGAGCAAATAAGCGGTGTAATGTCTGACAACGTTAATATTTTGATCTAATAATTCCAAGATACTTGCACTCAATCAAAATGTGCTTCACTGTCAAAGGAACTTGATAGTATTCACATTCCAGTTGAGGCTCTAGCTTTAAGATGAAACAAGCCAACAGTGAGGCTGATGTCCCCCGCCGAAATCCCAAAATAAATAGATGGCACATATTAATTAATCGCACATTTATTTTTTTCAAAAGTATCAAGCAATCAAACTGATTATCAACTTTACATTAAATTTCATCCCTCTCTATCAGATAGAATCAAAGTTATCTTGTCCCAAAGCATCGACCAATGAAATTGCTTAGCTCAGCTTAGCTTTAGCTCGAAATGTTAATCATTGAACTCAGTCAAGACATTCACCTAATGAACATCTACATCAAGTTTAAACATTCTACCTTAATTAAAAGCAGAGTTGTTACGTTCCAAAGTCTTGACCAATCAAATAGCTTATCGCTTGTTAGCCCTAAGCAGAAAATTCTCATCATCGAACTTATTCAAGGTAATGACATAATGAATCTATACTCAGAGTTTCATCACTCTCACTTAATTAAACCAAAGTTATCGTGCCCCAAAGCATCAACCAATAGATTGCTTAGGCCTGCTTACAGTAAAGAGACAATGTTTATCATCAAACTCCATCAAGGCATTCACCTAATGAATGCCTACACCAAGTTTGAACATCCTACCTCAATTAGAAAGAGAGTTATTGTGTTCCAATGTCTTGACCAATAAAATTGCTCATCGCTCTGCTTACCCTGAGCAGAAAATGCTTATTATCGAACTTAGTCAAGGTATTGATGTAATGAAACTATACACCAAATTTTATCACTCTCACTTAAATTGAATTAAAGTTATCGTGTCCCAAAGCATCAACCAATCAAATTGCTTATCTCTGCTTACCCTAAGCGGAAAATGCTCATCTTCGAACTCCATCAAGGCATTGACCTAATAAACACATACCCCAAGTTTGAACATTCTAGCTCAATTAGGAAGAGAGTTATTGTGTCCCAAAAAGTGTGACGGACAGACAGACTGACAGACAGACGGACAGACAGACAGACGGACGAACCCATTTTAATAGTCCCCTGCTTTCTTTGAAAGGCGGGGGACAAAAAATGTGTTAAAAAAGTATGACCAATGCGAGAGCGGCACAAAACAACTTCATCCCTCCTGTTGGTACTATAGGCGTTGGGCAAAGGCTTTCAAATTGCCGTTGTGAAACAGATTGGGGTTTAGAATCCAAAACTTACACATATAAAGAAGGCTTTCGTACAATCTGATCGGTTTTTTATATTTTCTATGGCCTACACTACATGGAGATCTGACCAGCCATACAGGGAGGTCGTGTCAGGGTCATACGAGGGGCTTTTGACCCTATGACGTCAGACATTGATTAATCAAACAGCGTTGACGTTTCTAGGGGATTACGCACAGTTCGGTATAGAGCAACGACAAGAACTCGATGTTACAGACCGTTTCATTGGTTTTATTCCTCACATCAACTAGAATGCCTGCTATATAACAACTCTTCCAGATCCCAGTGTTGTAAAGACAAATAAAACAAAATTTTGAACTATAAAAACAAAACGATATAGGATCTGTGTTTTAATCAGTCTGGCTTTCGTATCACCATTGTCAAACAGATGGGGTTTAGCATTCCGAAACATATAAAGAAGGCTTTTGTATTACCGTTGTAAAACAGATTGGCGTTTAGCATTCCGAAACATATAATAAAGAAGGCTTTTGTATTACCGTTGTGAAAATGATTGGGGTTGAGCATCCTGAAACTTACACATAAAAAAAAGGCTTTGTATTACCGATCTGAAAAAGATTGGGGTTTAGCATTCCGAAAGTTATACATATAACGAAGGCTTTCTTATTACCCTTGTGAAACAGATGGGGTTTAGCGTCATGAAACTACAGGGAACTTACTCATATAACTCATTCACCTTGGTGGAAGCGGACCGTGCATAAAGCTATTTCACACACATTAAGTATTGTTTAATGGTCTAGAGCGAGACATTAAGTAATATATTATAACAACAAGATATTACGCAATGTCTTAAGCTCGAGACCATTAAACAACTTAAAATACAGACACTTGCACGTGCATTTACAGTGAAATACGTCACACGAGTCCAATATTTTGACTGGTTACACTTGGCACATTGCCCGAATGATTATTTGAAATAATGGTAGCCAACATCAAAGGATGACGTCACATCTGTATTTTTAAACAAGAGAGTGTCTCTGACTTACTCATGTTTATTGGTATCATCTAAAAGTTGAACACCATGTTGTTGCTGGATAGATTTTTTATGATATGGTTGAACTATAGGTAAACCAAGGGGAGTAACCCATTCAACAGGTTGCTTTGATTCTATAGCCAGAGCCCTAGCACTGGTGCGCAGCCATTCCTTAAAATAAACACAACAATAAATATTATACTATTTTATTGGAGAGAGAGAGAGAGAGATGGGGTTTAACTCCACTCGACACAAACTCGGTCATTTCGAGACCGACATGTTTCATTTTTATTTCACATCCACTTGACACAAACTAGATCATTTTGGGACTAACATAAGGTTCAATTTTATGTCAATAATTCGCCTGTGCGTAGGGGTCTTCAGCAGTGGGAGAAAACCGGAGAACCAGTAGAAAACGAAGTTGGACAGGCAACGCTACTCCTTGTCACGTAGTACCAGGGAATCGAAACCACGCCAATTGACTCAATGACAGACCTTATGATACAGAGCACACATGCTAACCATGCGGCCATCCACCCCACCCTTGATCATAAACTGCTGGGTGTATAAAATTAAATGTTTCTTACCACGCCTTAAATTTTAAAGTCACATGAATAAAGTGTGGATTTTACCTGTATTCCTTTGGTTGCTGTAAACATTTCTTGTAAACAAAGGAACGTTTTCTCCGTTAAATAACTTGCGGCCTGAGATGTATATTCCTGGGGCATGTCTGGAATATCTTTCAACTGACGGATAATTTGAAGTCGAGCTCCATATTTGGTAACACCATAAACTGTGGTCATTACTGTTTGTTTTATTACCTAAAACAAGAGTTGGGGTTTAAAATCGATTCCACACAAATTACATCATTTCGGGACGAACATACGGGAGAAAACCGGAGGACCCCTAGTAAAACTAACGAGAGAGAAATGTGGTGTAACGTCCACTCGACACAAACTAGGTCATTTCAGGACTAACATATGGTTCAATTTTATTTCAATAATTTGCTTAAGTGTAGGGGTCTTTAGCAGTTGGAGGAAACAGGAGAAAACAGGAGGACCTGGAGAAAACCCCTGAGGTTGGACAGGCAACCCTACTCCTTATCCCATACAGCCGGGGAATTGAAACCAGGCCAGCTGACTAAATGACAGACTTTATGATAAAAACAATGTGCATGCGCTAACCAATCGGCCATCCGAACCCCCAGAAAACCCATGGTTGAATAGGCGACCCTACTCCTGCGCCACTTGACTCATTGGAAAGATCGTTAAAACAAAGTAAGTTAATTATAACACGGAACACCCGACAACCATGCGTACACATAAGCATCAGGATAAAAGAACCCTTTGCAGTTGAAATTTAAAAGAGTGTAGTAAGAAATGTCACATATTCCCGAAGCATTGGCCCGAGAAATCCCTCTCTGCCCATTGCTCGATAGGCTTCTGATACTTGAGCTTTTGAGGGAGTGTGTCTATTCTTCCCGTTCAATCAAATCTATCCCAAGTACAACAACATGACAGCCCATCGTTTAATCTGTGGTCTTCCCTAAAACTTTGGACATTAATTTAAGGTATTACAAACGGAGAAAGTATCGTTCTTCTACATACAGTATTGTTTACATTGTATCCATGTTGATAGCCTCGTTTGTCACGCAATTAATTTTTCTGCAATGTTCTGCTATGCACTGGTTAACTAGGCATAATAAAATCGTGAGCCATGACGTAACGTTATGTAAACATATTTGGTACAATTTGGAGCTCTGTTTAAAGCGTAATGATATTGTTAAGCAGTTAGCTATTGGTTGTTAATCGGACTATTGACCAGTCATAATTTGGAACCGAAATTTGCTTCCATTACAGCAGTGTTAATTAGCAGTGGGATTAGCTCTAATCAAACAAAACACTGCGAGAGCATGAAAATACCACTGCCTGGGCAAGAACTATAACCAGAAAATAGTAAGCATGCCCTGCCTGGTGTATGACACTCATCAACAATATGATGGTGACAAAAATAGTTTATTTACCTTTCTCCTTACAAAACCTTCAAGTACAATGGCCGTCATATTCCCTTCTGCTGCATCTTTACTTCTCTGTCGCTCCACCTAGAACATACATAACAATTCAATTTACTTTCTCTCTCTCTCTCTCTGCCCTCTCTCTCTCCCCCCTCCCTCTTCCCTACCCCTTCTCACTGCCCGTATTTCTCTTTCACCTCTCTCTGTCTCTCTCTCCCCCCCCTCCCTCTTCCCTACCCCTTCTCACTGCCCGTATTTCTCTTTCACCTCTCTCTGTCTCTCTCTCTACCCCCCCTCTCTCTACCCCTTCTCACTGCCCATCTTTCTCTTTCACCTCTCTCTGTCTCTCTCTCTCCCCCCCTCTCTCTACCCCTTCTCACTGCCCGTATTTCTCTTTTACCTCTCTCTGTCTCTCTCTCTCACCCTCCCTCTTCTCACTGCCCATCTTTCTCTTTCACCTCTCTCTGTCTCTCTACCCCCCCCTCCCTCTCTCCCTCTACCCCTTCTCACTGCCCGTCTTTCTCTTTCACCTGTCTCTGTCTCTCTCTCTACCCCCCCTCCCTCTTCCCTACCCCCCTCTTCTCAACCCCCCTCGATCTCTATTCCCACCTCCTTCTCATTCCTCTTTCTCTTCCCTCTCTCTTTAACACCCCACTTCTCTACCCCCTCTCTATACCACTCTCGATCTCTCTATCAACCCCCTTCCCTCTCCCCATTCTCTCTCTCTCCCCATTCTCTCTCTCTCTACCACTCTCGATCTCTCTACCAGCCCCCTTCCGTCTTCTCTCTCTCTACCAACCCTCATCTCTACCCGCCCCGAGATCTCTCTACCCGCCCCCTTCTTTCTCTCTATCACCCCTCTTCTCTACCACCCTTGACCTCTATACCCACCCCTCTTCTCTACCACCCTTGACCTCTATACCCACCCCTCTTCTCTACCACCCTTGACCTCTATACCCACCCCTCTTCTCTACCACCCTTGACCTCTATACCCACCCCTCTTCTCTACCACCCTTGACCTCTCTACCCACCCCCTTCCGGCTTCCCTCTCCCCCCCTTTTTCTGCCCTCTCTCTCTACCTCTCTCCCCCTCCTTTCTCTACCCGCCCCGAGATCTCTCTACAACCCCTCTTCTCTACCAACCCCCTCTAGCTACCACCCCCTCTCTCTCTCTCTCTCTCTCTCTCTCTCCATCCAACCATCACTCTCTCTCTCTCTCTCTCTCCATCCAACCATCACACACTCTCTCTCTCTCTCTCTCTCTCTCTCTCCATCCAACCATCACTCTCTCTCTCTCTCTCTCTCTCCCATCCATCCAACCATCACTGTGAACTTACCATTTCTGCTACGTCACTATAAACATCTTGTGGTTTTGAGAAGGGAGAAAGATTAACTGATTCTGCCCCGGACTGATCACGCCCCAGTGCTGCATAGTGCTGTAAACCATTACACGACCCATCCTGGACAAAATAGTCATTAAATCAATTAAGTTACAGTAAAGACAGAAAGACAATCAATTAAACAAAATCTCAGCCATCCGAAGTCCTAGAAAGTTGATTTTAGGCCTGTCATGATAACCATACATTATGTAAGAGCTAAATCTGCCTATTGCATAAATCAGCCTTTAGACCTGGAATGTTATCTAAGTTATTAATTAGACATTAATTACATGCAAAAATGAATAATCGAGACTGTTTTTTTATCGTACTGACTATAGTAATGATGATCGAAGTTAGGCCTAAAATTCAATTGCTAATATTCTGGTTCAGAGTGGAGCAATTTTACTGAAATTTTCTCTTTACATTATCTAGTTTTTAACTATCATAGTGAGAACTGTCAGCTCTTTATGTAATCTCCCATAATGTTCCTTTAATAATTTATATAAGATTTGAAGTCAGAAGAACGACCTGATGCAGATTTAGCTATAATACATCATTAAATAGTACAGATAATTAGTGGTTGCTATAGTAATTTACACAAAATAAGATAGGTTGCCAGGCAACGAAACATACGCCCACAGCAGCTAAGTCGTCTGGCAGGTTGACATGGTTCTATAAACTAAAACCAGGGCCTTAACTCTGGAACAGAAGTTGTTGAAATTCGATAAGCTTTTTCATTTTACTAATTTAAATGATGCATATAAATTTCATACAGATCTGATGATGAGCGTTACCATGGCGCAACAAAGTGAAACAAGGGCCATAGCTCCAGAAGAAACTAATGGAAATTATTGAAATTAAATAGGATTCTTCATCTCAATAATGTAAACAACATATATCAATTTCAAAACAATCAGATGACAAATGTAGTCTGTCGCATGTTCACATAAAATTGCAGACAATGAACGGACAGACTGGCGAAGGGACGGACAGGGGCATAGAAATATAAGACCACATTTTCATGTGGATATATAAAAATGGATAGATATAGTAATTAATATAGTAAACCTGATGCACAGGAAAATGAGAGATATATTTGGTAATATCTGGTGATCTAATAGCATTAGTTATTTCTATACAACAAGCTAATGTCTGCCATGGTTCATCTGATGTCTGCCACCAACAGTCACCCTGGAAATAAAATTATCACAGTTAGATTTGGTTTCCGTGTACAAGATTATATCAACAGATTAATCAAGAGAGAGCGAGAGAGAGAGACAGAGAGAGAGAGAGAGAGGGTTTAACATCCACTCGACACAAACTAGGTCATTTCAGTACTAACAAATGGTTTAATTTAATTTCAACAATTCGATTGCGTGTAGGAGTCTTTAGCATTGGGAGGAAACGGGACGACCAGGAGAAATCCCACGAGGTTGGACACGTACAACTGGGGAATCGAAACTACGGCAGTTGATTCAATGAATGACCTTATGTATGATACAGCGCTCACGTGATAACCATTTGGTCATCCAACGCCCCCTAGAAGAATCAATCAGACTGCACTAAGCTAATTCAATGTAGCACACTCATGGGGGTCTTTCCTGTGGAGGAAACAGGAAATCGGAGTACTCAGAGTAAACCCATGAGGTTGAGGAGGTGCCCCTATTTCTAAGCCACATAAGCTCACCCAAGGGATTAAATCCACACTCATAAGCCAGAGGTTATCAGCAAGATAGAGCTCAATATCCCCCCCCCCCCCCATACACACACACTAAATTAAATGTGCACAGATAATGTTGATATTTATAAATCTGAGTAAAATTTATAGCTCTTGGGCCAGTCTAAAGATAGGTTGCCAGGTAACGAAAAATACGCCCACAGCGACGGCAATATGGGTTCAGGCCTGATTACTATGGCATTGGGTCCAGGCCTGAATACTATGGTATTCTACTAAGTTGTAACAAGGAATATGGAATTGTATACTGTGAGATATCCCAGTAATAACTAATACTCTACTTACCGTGAATGGATTATCAGCAGAGTCCTGTATTTCATCTAACATTTCATTAGCAAATGCTAGACGTTCGTCATTCGAACATCTGGTAAATTAAAATATATCATTATTTTACTGGAAATGAAATGAAATGGGGTTTAACCTGCAACTGTTCTGCTCCGACTGGGCTATGAGGACGTGCATAACCCATACAGTGTGCAATGAGGAAAATTTTGCCTGGGCAGCGGTACTATGGCCTACTCTTATATCGAATTCCAACTGCAAAGATATTTTCTGCATGCACCCCAATGTATACACAGGACCTCAGTTTTTCGTCCCATCCGAACCATGTCCAGCCCTCCGTCCTGCACCACTGTCAAGGGGGAATCATGTCTAACACGGGACCTCGGTTTTTCGTCCCATCTAAACAACTAGACAGCTGTACTTGTCAGGGCCTCTGTCCTGCACCACTGACAAGGGGAAACCAAGCTAGAAAATCCCCTACCAACATTAGTAATGATGATCGAGGCTAGCCTAAAATTGAATTGCGAATATCTTGCTTCAGAGTGAAGCAATTTGACTGAAATTTTCAGCATATTCTGTTTTCATTTTTTATTTTTTTTACTATTACAGCGATAACTATCAGCCCTTTATCTAATGTTACCTAATTACTTATATAATACCCTTTTAAGGATGACATTATTACACACAAAAGAACTCTTAAGAGTTGCGGTGCCGCTGTCTGGGCAAAATTCCCCTCATAGCAAAGAGAGAGAGAGAGAGAGAGAAATGGGGTTTAATGTCCACTCAATACAAACTAGGTCATTTCGGGACTAACATATGGTTAAATTTTTTTTTTATTTCAATAATTCGCCTGCGCGTAGGGGTCTTTAGCAGTGGGGGGAAACCGGAGGACCCGGAGAAAACCCACGAGGTTGGACAGGCAACCCTACTCCTTGTCACGTACAACCAGGGATTCAAAACCACGCCAGTTGACTCAATGACATCCTACTCTCCCCCCCCCCCATAGCAAACTGTATGACATATGCCCATTTTCAACAGCCCGGTCGATGCAGAACAGTAGAATGTCAAACCCCAATTCATTTCTGACACTAATTTATAAGTTAATATATTAGAGATATTCCTCAGCTCTTGTTGATGTCCACATGACAATACAAGAGGGCCACCATGTTTCTTCATACTGTTTAAATTAACAAACAGTAATATGAGAGCAAGGATTCATTCATCATTGGAATATTTTTATCTAACGAACAACAGTAGAACAGTGGAATGTCAAACCCCATTTCATTTTTGACACTAATTTATAATTTTATTAGAGATATTCCTCAGCTCTTGGCTGTAAATTGTGTCAAATATTTCTATGTCTTGAAAAGATCTTGTTGTGTGAACATGACAATATAACAATATAAGTTAATACACTAGAAATATTCCTCAGCTCTTGTTTATGATCAAATGACCATACAAGAGGGCCAATAAGTTTCTTCATACTGTTAAAGCCCCCGTCACACCAAACTAGTTCTCACTACTTTCTGGAAAAGGCCATAGAAAAGCATAGATTGTGTTTCTTGCTACCTGTAAATCATTTTGTAGGGGATGAAGCTTGAAATCACACTACGTCATCTCGCGACAGGAGATCTCTAGGTCACCATACAATATGATTTCTGAGTAGCAAGAAACATAATATGCCCTACCCTGGCCTTTTCCAGAACGTAGAGAGAACTAGTTTGGTGTAACAGGGGCTTTAGATTAACAACAGTAATAAGAATGAAAGCAAGAATTGATTCATCATTGGAATATTTATTTATCCCTAACATTAAAACAGAGAAAGAGAGAGAGAGAGAGAGAGAGAGAGAGAGAGAGAGTTTAAGCCCACTCGACACAAACTATGTCATTTTGGGACTGACACATGGTTCAATTTTATTTCAATAATTCGCTTGTGCGTAGGGGTCTTTAGCAGTGGGAGGAACCTGGAGAAAACCCACGAGGTTGGTCAGGCAACCCTACTCCTTGTCACGTACAACCGGGGAATCGAAACCATGCCAGTTGACTCAATGACAGACTTTATGATGTAACACGCACATGCTAAGGCTGACCTTAAAAATATCTTTGTTTCGCCTAACGCGACCGACTAACTAAAACCACCCCCGACTTAAATTATTTTATTGCACTTTTCCGCGATCTTTTTATTTTATTTTGTGTGTCAACCTGAAATATATCACGAGAGTTATTTCCCTTTACTATGGCTATGGTTTGATTCATTATTGAAACTGGTTGATCAAGACGAAATCATCATAGGTGTCGCTTCTCAACAAAATGGTTGCAGACGAAAGCACGTCCATTCCCACGAAATGATTCTGCCTCTATTTTTCTCAAAAACGGATATTTTCAATATCCGTTTTCGAGAAAAATGAAGGCACAACCCGCACGATCGTTATAAAACGTGTTGAGGGAGTTTCAAACGTCAGTTTGTGGCAATTCCTGTGCGAGTCGTGCATCACGAAAAGTCCCGATGTCATTGATTTGTTTGCCAATAAAAGAAGACGAATGTTTGCACCCGGAAAATTATCAAGCTGTCAAATTAGCTCTTAAAAAAAAATCTGAAAAAAAAACCGACCTACCGACCCCTCTCCTCGATTGTGGGTCGGGTTTGGTGAAACAAAGATATTTTTAAGGTCAGCCTAATCATTCGACACTCCCTTTTCAGTATCTATTTTTAACTACTAAAGCAAGAACTATCAGCTCTTTATTGAAATCTTTTAATGATGGTAGGAAGAAGAGAATATAAATAGATTTACCTTTTTTTAAAACCAGTTAAATTAACCAGATGTATCTTCAACCAATCTAAACCTCTTTCTCCCAATGGTTTACCTTTAGCAAATATCAACAAACTTCTAGCTAGATCGGAACCTATTGTATAAAATATAAAAATATAGGTTACTTATTTAAAGATGCATTAGGTAAGATTTAGAGAGAGAGAGAGAGAGAGAGAGAGTTTAGCTCCACTCGATTCAAACTAGGTCATTTTGGGACTAACATATGGTTCAATTTTATTTCAATAATTCGCTTGCGCGTAGGGGTCTTTAGCAGTGGGAGGAAACTGAAGGACCCAGAGAAAACCTACGAGGTTGAACAGGCGACCCTACTCCTTGTCACGTAGAACCGGGGAATCGAAACCAGGCCAGCTGACTTAATGACAGACCTTATGATACAACCTGCACGTGCTAACCATTTGGCCATCCATTCCCCAGTAAGATTTAGGGCTTGTCGCGCTCACTATAACAGTCCAAAAATAGATAATGAAAAATGAATATATTGAAAATTTCAAACAAATTACTTTATTCCGAGTTTTGCCATAGATTGTTTATTATCACAGCAATGCTACTTACTCATTGAGACTCCATTTTTAAATCAAATCATTAAATGGCAATCATATTTTAATCCGTTTACATCTGTGCCACCAGATGTCCTAGAGAGTTGATTATAGGCTTGTCATGTGAATAAAGGTCTAAATATTTGATTATGTAATATTTGAAGCCTGTTTATAAATCTGTAATAGGCATATTTAGCTCTTACATAATGCATCTTTAACTAACCAGAGAGAAAGAGAGAGAGAGAGAGAGAGAGAGAGAGAGAGAGAGAGAGAGAGAGAGAGATGGGGTTTTACCTCCCCTCGACACAAACTAGGTCATTTTTGGGAGTGACATATGGTTCAATTTTATTTCAATAATTTGCTTACGCAAGAACTCAGAGAAAACCAACAGGGTTGAACAGGCGACCCTACTACTTGTCATGTATAACCGAGGAATGGAAACCATGCCAATTGACTCAATAACAGACCTTATGATACAGCACAGACGCACTAACCATTCGGCCATCCAACCCCCCCGCCCTCTAAGTTTAAACTGATATTTCTACTTACCTAAATGGTTAAAATGAGGGGGCGTTGGATAAGTTCTACCACGAAAATCCAGGTTGTGAGGAAACCAGAATATTTCATCGCGGAACTACAAAAGTTGAAAAGACAATGTGTGTGTATACTCCCAACCTATTGGCTGTATACTTATATCATACTTCTAAACACTCACCCGATTGGCCACATGTTACAATCCATGAAATTCTGTAAACACTCACGCTATTGGCTATATAATCCATGTAATTCTATAAACACTCACGCTATTGGCTATATAATCCATGTAATTCTATAAACACTCAAGCTATTGGCTATATAATCCATGTAATTCTATAAACACTCACGCTATTGGCTATATAATCCATGTAATTCTATAAACACTCACGCTATTGGCTATATAATCCATGTAATTCTATAAACACTCACGCTATTGGCTATATAATCCATGTAATTCTATAAACCCTCACGCTATTGGCTATATAATCCATGTAATTCTATAAACACTCACGCTATTGGCTATATAATCCATGTAATTCTATAAAAACTCACCCTATTGGCTATAGATAATCTGTAGAGTTCTGTACACCATAGACTAAACATCTCGCTACGCTTCTGTTTGATTTGATTTCGCTCTCGATGTAGTTTGGCTTTTTGACCGGGTGATAAACTTTTGAAATCACTGTAAAACATTTAAAACTTGAACATCAATTCAAAAGAAATTTAGGTTATTTCTGGGTACATTTTATTTCAATAGTTCAAATAAGCACAGGGGTCTTGAAGAAATGAAGAGAGAGATGGGGTTTACCGTCCACTCGACACAAACTAGGTCATTTCGGGACGAACACATGTTTCAATTTTATTTCAATAATTTGCTTGTGCGTAGGTGTCTTTAGCTGTGGGAGGAATCTGGACGACCCAGTGAAAGCCCACGAGGTTGGACAGGTGGCCCTCTTGCTTTTCATGTACAACCGGTGAATTGAAACTACAGCAGTTGACTTATTGACAGATCTTATGATACAGCGCGCACATGCTAACCATTCGGCTATCCAACTCCATGTATTTTTGAGAATTAGTTTTATCATCATCATCATGAATCCTGTTACTTTTTAACTAGAGAATCAACATATTATGATTGGTTAACAGAAATAGACCAGGGTTTTTCGACCAATTAGAATGCTGTGTAACCCGTGATTGTTTTTAGTTGTGTTATGTCAATATCGATTGTATGTTAACTGTACCAGAATTGAAAGGTTCATGTTATACATAGGATAGGACCGATGGAAGGTGTGACTAGGATGTTCTAGCCTACATCAAGATAATGTTATACATAGGATAAGACTGATTGAAGGTGTGACTAGGATGTTCCAGCCTACATCAAGTCAATGTTATTCATAGGATAAGACTGAGCCACGATGTGACTAGGATGTTCTAGCCTTCATGAAGCCAATAATAAGACTGAGCTACAGTGTGACTAGGATGTTCTAGCCTTCATCAAGCCAATAATAAAACTGAGCTACAGTGTGACTAGGATGTTCTAGCCATGATCAAGTCAATAATTAGACTGCGCCATGGTGTGACTGGGAAACAGTTTGATTATTAAATAACAAGGAAACGATCATATCCATGTTGAAATATATTTCTAAATAATTCTGACAACGCAATATAATGAAATAACTTACCGAGGATATTTTGTTAAGGCTGGGAATTCGGTGACGGGTGGAGGAATGTCTAAATCAACGTTGCCTTTTGTGTTAAACAAATCAATTACAAGATCCAACACCTACAAAATATATTCATTCTATTCTTATACTTTTTGAATTTGTCAGTCTTAACTTACTGTCTGTGGAATTTGTCAGTCTTGACTTGTCAGTCTTGACTTGTCAGTCTTGACTTACTGTCTGTGGAATTTTACAGTCTTGTCTTACGGGCTGGGGAATTTGTACCTTCAAGTCAATTGACAAACCATAAAATTAGGCATTTCAAAGAATTTATCCGTAAAACACAGCTGTATGTCTGGAAAGGCTTAAATACTGATTTAGGATCAAGCAAAATATTGTCATATTCTTTAAACGAAATTATTGCCAATCAGAGATAAACAAAATGTGTAATTTATACGCAACGGTAAAATTAAACTAAAACGTCTTTTAAAGATGAATTATGTAAGGTTTAGATAAAGAGCTGACCGTCCTAGCAGTATAGTTTAATCTGATTAAAACACAGATCCTATTTCATTTCGTTTTTATAGTTCAAAATTTTGTTTTTACTTGTCTTCACAACAATAGGATCTGGAAGAGTTGGTATATAAAAGGCGTTCTAGTTGATGTCAGGAATTAGACAACGAAACGGTCTGTTAGGGCGAGCTTTTGGCGTGTGGTGCACGGAACAGTGGGTAATCCCCTAGAAATGTCAACGCTGATTGATTAATCAATGTCTGACATCATAGGGTCAAAAGCCACTCATATGACCTCTGACGAGATCTATCACCACAACCTGTCAGATCTTCATGTAGTGTAGGCTATTAAAAGTATAAAAAACAAAACGAAATATAGATCTGTATTTTAATCAGATTGTATAATAGTTCAAAAATAGATAATGAAAAATCAATATATTGATATTTCATTCACATTTCTTTATCCTGAGCAATGTTATGAATGATTGAAGATGTAGCATACATTGTAGATTGTTTATTATTGTAGCACCAGTACTTGACAATCCACACTATGTCTAGATTATCTATCTTGAAATGAAATGAAATGGGGTTTAACGTCCTACTGTTCTGCTCCTATGCTGGGCTAATGAAGACGGGCATATGCCATACAGTGTGCTATGAGGGAAATTTTGCCCGGGCAGCGGCACTATCGCCTACTCTTATATCGAATTCCAACTGCCAAGGGATCTTTTACGTGCATTCCAATGTATACACGGGACATCAGTTTTTCGTCTCATCCGAAGGACTAGACAGCTGTCCTTGTCAGCCCTCCGTTCTGCACCACTGACAAGGGGGAACCACGCCGGAAAATCCCGATGAACTTTCTCGGCCAATGCAGGGATCGAACACCCGACCTCAAGGCTACCGAGCCAGCGTCTTACCCACTGTGACTTAGCCACAAGATCCCGGTTTTTATCCATCTTAACATTAAATTAATAAATGGCGATCATGTTTTCGGCCATCTGATTGGTTTAGAGAGTTAATTATTATGGCCTTGTCATGTGAAATAATATCTAAATAACAACTTATATAACATTTCAGGCCAAAAGACAGAGCTACAATAGGCAGATCTAGCTCTTACTAATGTATGTTTAATATAGGAATGAAAACAATAACTAACAATTAAAGATACATTATGGGAGATTAGATAAAGAGCTGACAGTTCTCACTATAATAGTTAAAAACTAGATAATGTAAAGGCAATTTGCTGAACATTTCAGTCAAATTGATCCACCCTGAACCGAGAATTTGGTCATTGAATTTTGGGCCTAGCCTTGATTATCATTACTAAAGTCAGTACAAAAAATACATAGTATTGATTATCCATTTCTTGATCTAATCATGAATGAGCGTAGAGCAGCAGATCGGATCCTAGTCTTGCATAATGCATGTTTAATCCAGACTTACTGTTTTGTTGATTATCCAGGCACAAGCTGATAACGTATTTAACGAGTCTAAAACAGCGTTAATTTGATTGGTTCCCAGTTGTTGAAGTCGATCCATCTGGTTGAAGGCCAGCTCTGGTAAACGAATCAATTTAGCTGAAAGAAACAAAAACAACAGTCACATTTCCATAGGATTACATGATCTTCTATCTAATATAAATTGTTTATGAATTTGAAACCAGTATCAGGTCGATTCCAGAATATTGTCGCATATTGCAGTTGATGTGGAAATGAAATTAAATGGGGTTTAATGTTTAACGTCCTACTGTTCTGCCTGATTTCATTGTCAGTGGTGCAGGACACAGGGGGGGAGGGGTTTGGCCCTGACAAGGACAGCAGTCTAGTCATTCGGATAGGGCGGAAAACCGTGTACATATTAGCATACACATAAAAGATCCCTTGGCAGTTGGAATTTGATATAAGAGTAGGCAGTAGCGCCGCTGTCCGGGCAAAAGTTCCCTCATAGCACACTGTATGGTGTATGCCCGTCTTCATTATCCCAGTCGGAACAGAACAGTAGGACGTTAAACCCCATTTCATTTCACAATAGTAGGACGTAAAACTCAATTTGATTTATATTAGAAAGATCTATAGAGACAACTTACTAGTTGATAGTAATGTTCCCCCATGATTTAATGATAACCAAGGGACTGGAGGTACAAGCATTGGCATATCGGACATGTTGAAGTCAAGATCATCCAGTTGAGCTTCTTTATGTAACTTGATAACATCAGGATGAGGCTAGAATAACAAGCCAACAGTGAGGCTGATATCCCCCCGACACAACCCCAAATAAATAGATGACACATATTAATTAATTGCACATTTATCTTTTTGAAAAGTATCGAGTAATCAAACTCATTAACTGGAAACGTCAATGCTGATATTAATCAATGTATGATAGGGTTAAAAGCCGGTTTTGCGACCCCTGATGCGACCTTCCAGTACAACAGGTCAGATCTTCATGTAGTATAGCCCATCGAAAGTATAAAAAAAACAAAAGAAATATAGATCTGTATTGTAATCAGATTGAGGGAGAATAAAAATATAAAATGTTTCAACTTCCATACAAGATATGGTTGCCCCTCAGAGAAAACCCAAACCCAAACCAAGCCACCTGACTCAATGACAGACCTCATGATCTAAAACACACAACACATTATATCAATACCATGACAACCAAGATATGTCTCATTTGTACATTAGGTATTTGCTTGAAAACGACTTGTGAAATGTTGTTGAAATGTTGCAGTATAAAAAACCAAGTGATTGTATCCATAATAAGTGTTCTAGTATCATACCATGACAACAACATAGTATTATACCATGACAACAATATAGTACTATACCATGACAACAATATAGTACTAAACCATGACAACAACATAGTATTATACCATGACAACAACATAGTATTATACAATGACAGCAATAGTATTATACCATGACAACAACATAGTATTATACAATGACAACAATATAGTATTATACCATGACAACAATATATTATTATATAATGACAAGAACATAGTATTATACCATGACAAGAACATAGTATTTACCTTTATTTCTTCAAATGTTTTATAGTTGGAAGTTCGATAAATCGAAAAAAATGCTGGATATAATTTCCTGAAATTAAGCAAACAATCCATCACACATTTTTCCATTCCAATGTTACATGTAATTAACAAAATCATTTTTTCAAACAGATCACCACATTGTGAAGAAAATATATCTCCCTGCTTTTTTTATTCCTTGACTAATATAAAACTTCTAAATTTTGTCTTTTTTTGTAAATCTGTCTATTCAATAAAAACTAACAAGCTAGTTGAGACAGTCGTAAGTATTAAAACAAATTTCAAGCATCCTACCTTTCGTCTTTTTGGTTAAAAATACTGGAATCCATTCGAACTTCTTGTAAAATCAAATCATATAGTAGTCGGCCAATCTAATAGATATAAACAAACAAATATTTTAATATTTTATGTCAAATCATACGATAGTAAGTCAATCATACGATAGCCAGTCAATCATACGATAGTAAGTCAATCATATGATGGTCAGTCAATCATACGATAGTCAGTCAAACATATGATGGTCAGTCAATCATACCATAGTCAGTCAATCATACGATAGTCAGTCAAACATATGATGGTCAGTCAATCATACCATAGTCAGTCAATCATACCATAGTCAGTCAATCATACAGTCAATCATACCATAGTCAGTCAATCATACCATAGTCAGTCCATCATACCATAGTGCGTCATACGATAGTCAGTCAATCATAGTCAGTCAAATAATAATCGGTCAATCATACGACAGTCAGTCAATCATGCAATAGTCAGTCAATCATGCAATAGTCAGTCAATCATGCATTAGTCAGTCAATCATGCATTAGTCAGTCAATCATGCAATAGTCAGTCAATCATGCAATAGTCAGTCAATCATACGACAGTCAACCAATGATAGGGATATATTAGCAAGAACTGGGATATACAATAATCTTCAGAAGGGAGATATCAAGTAGACAACCATTCTCCTTTCTCATATACTATTCAAAAAAAGTAGGGGATATTTGATTTTTAAGTGTTATTAAAGTCACCTAAGGCTACACAAAATAAATGTCTTGTTTCTCGGGCAACTGACAGCTGAAACTGTAGGGGGGGAGGGCGGTTTATTTTTTTTTTTATCTCATTTCTGGCTAGAGGATGGTGCAAAATAAAATTTGCCTATTGTTGAAAATTGTTGGGGCGGGAGGGCGGCCTTGTATTTTTTATTTTTTTTTTAATAAGAACGTCATTACTTGTCTACGGTTTTGCTTTCAGTTATATATTATACATACTTAGAACATAAACCCCAAAATCAAGTCTACTCAAACACTGAACACTGACTGAAAGGAAAATAATTTTCCATATTTAATTCACGTAATGTAGCTTACTAATGGTAATAGTGACAACCATAATTGAAATTGGTTTAAAATAAAATTCCGTACGACTATTAATAGCCGTCCATAATAACGACAATATTTTAAAGAGTAAGCCTTTGTCAGCATGTGTATCATCATCATCACGGTAAACGACACTTCGATCTAAATCTAGTATCGCTGGTTTATAATGATTGACCTAATTCCAACCAATGTCACGTGTCATCGGGATATGACTGTTTCTCAGTTTATTCGGTGTGTTTCTCAGGATATTCGGTGTTCTATCTGGGGTTTATATCGAATGACTATTTAAATTTAACTAACAACTCGTCAGTAAAACCATCAAATGTGTAATCCAATTATTATTTTCCGGATTATCAAAACTACCGTTAAATGTGCTAATGACCCAGATTCTGAATAAGGTATGGTGACTATCTTCGTAGCCACAAGTTATAATAATTAACCTGTTCTACGATTCATTGTTTTATAAGTAGGATTTTTTTAAACATGGACCGACTGAAGCCGGCAATAATGAGCCGATTAAGATCGAATGATTGAAATACATTGCATTGTTGTCAATGACTTTCGGTGTTTAACACGATTCAAATTCTAGTTCACAAGGGGAGGTAATTAAAATCACGTGATACAAAAATGGAGGTTCTTTCGATATCAATAAAAAAGACCCGTAAATGAGCGTTTACATCTGAATCAGTTTAATACATTTGAATGGATATTCACGTATGGGGCATGTAGATACATGCGGCATATTTTTTTTATGACTTGCTTATCGATGTTCGGGCGGGCGTTACATATTTTTTTTTTTTCATCAAGACTAATAAATAGGCCGCTTGCGCAACCAATTTTGCGTGCGGGCGGTGCCCGAGAAACAACTTATTTTATTTGTGTTGCCTAATGAAACTGACGAAGAAACAAATGACAAAATGAAATGAAGTTCACATTCATCAATTTATTCCAAATGATCGTTAGACTAAGTAAGGCACAGACTGACCATTATAAGGGTAAAATGATACCCGGGGTCAAACAGCAAAGTTACCACAGCATCACAACCAAGTCAGTAACGGGTAAATCCTCCTCTGTTTGCCAAACAAGCATTGATCCGACGTGGCATACTCCTAATGAGACGTCTAAGGTCATTTTGGTCCAGATTGTCCCATTCCTGTTGCAACGCAGCAGCAAGTTCTTGGACATTGGCAGGACGTTGTTGACGTTGACGTAACCTCTGTCCAAGCATGTCCCAGACATGCTCGATGGGGGAGAGGTCGGGACTCAGTGCTGGCCAAGGTAATGTGGTGATGTTCTGTTGTTGGAGGTAACCTGTAACGATCCTGGCCCTGTGACATCTTGCGTTGTCATCCTGGAAGATGAAACGGCGGCCATAACGTCGTGCGAACGGCACAACATGGACTGCCAAGATGTTGTCCCGGTAGTACTGGCCTGTAACACGCCCTGCAACAACATGTAAAGCCGTTCTTCCAGCAACAGTGATGCCTCCCCACACCATAACAGAACCACCCCCAAATCGATCATGTCTGATGACGTTAACGTCTTGGAAGCGCTCGTTTCGACGACGCCACACCCTCCTACGTCTGTCCAAAAAATCAACAGTGAACCTTGACTCATCTGAAAACATCACATTGCTCCAGCGTCGATTATCCCAGTGTTGACGATACCTACACCAACGACGTCTTGCCTGAATGTGATGATCTCTCAAACAAGGGATCACGCGAGGACGTCGGGCGCGAAGGTGACCCCTATGCAGTCGATTCCGAATCGTCTGGCCACTCATTCTCACACCAGTGCAAATCTTGGGTTGGACCCCCATGATGATCCCAAGCATCACCTGCATTCCATGCGGTAGCTATTGGTGTGTTTGGGCGTCACATGTAACTGGAAATGTTTCTTCTGTTAGGTTCTATAGTGACTTTTTTCGTAGTCATTTGCATATTTTAGTATTATGCCTCCAAAATCAAATATCCCCTACTTTTTTTGAATAGTATATATAAATAAATAATATGTCTAAAAACTCACGGTTCTTTTCACATGTACTGGCCAAACTCTCTCCTCGACAACCTAATAATATATCATGTATACAAAGTATAAGATTAAAGATACATTATAAAAGATTCAGATCAAGAGCTGGCCATTCTTGCTATAATTGTTCAAAGATAGGTTGCCAGGCAAAGAAACATACTCTCACAGCAGCTAAGTCATCCTAGCGGTCGACAAGGGTTGTCACATATATTTATTCTTTTGTGGGTATAATGCATATAAATCTCATACAGATCTTTAATGATAACTTTTGTCATTCCAAGGATCACAAGGATCAACAAAGTAAAACAAGGGTCATAACTCTAGAAGTTATTAACAGAAATTTCTGAATTTCAATAGGCTTCTTTGTTTCACTAATTTAAATGATGCACATAAATATCATACATATTGGATGATCAGTTTTGTCGTTTGAGTATTCACAAGGTTTAACAAAGTGAAACAAGGACCATAATTCTAGAAGTAGCTTTGGAAATTGCCCAAATTCAATAGGCTTCTTCATTTCACTAATTTAAATGAAGCATATTAATTTTATCTAGATCAGATAGTAACTTTTGTCATTGGAGCATTCACAAGGTGCAACAAAGTGAAACAGGGGCTACATAGCTGGATAACCTATATAAATATCAGAAAAGACTGGATAATAATTCAAGACTTCAAGGTGTTCACAAGGTGCTTTACTCCAGCAATGAATGACGAAGGCTACTTCACACCTTGTTATGGTTCACACTGTGACTTACCAAGCTTGGTCCATCAGAATTCTCATTTAACCCTTAACCGGTCAACATCATTTTGACGTCATGACATCAAGTAGTCAGGCTAAATAAAGGCTAAGTGAAATATTTTGTATGCCTATTTCAATCGACTACTGCTGGATAATTATAAGTGATAGACTCTGGACACCAATAAAATAGTTGAAGGGGATAAGTTGATCTATAATTTGCAAATCATTCTAAATCATTTTCATCAGAAATATGATCTTCAGAATTGGTGTTATCGATATAATCCGAGTCGTAATAATTCAGAAGCATTTGAACCACTTTGAGAGTCTTTAACCTTCCCAACATCATTAAATTACACTTTTTGTCAAAAAATGTTGAACAAAGAAATGTTTTTCTCAATGCCCTTGACTAAGTTCCTGTCTGACACGCATGCGTGGCCATATCAATTAAATGCGAAACTAAATACTCAAATGTGGCTTATAAAAAAGGTTCTTGCTGTGACCACTTAGCTGTATAACGTTGTGGTGATTATAGTCGACAATGACCGGTTAAAGGTTAAATAACTTCACAAGCTCGGTCATCAGAATTATCATTTAATATTTCACACTGTAACTTACTAAGCTCGGTCATCAGAATTATCATTTAATATTTCACACTGTAACTTACCAAGCTTGGTCCATCAGAATTATCATTCAATATTTGACACTGTAACTTACCAAGCTCGGTCATCAGAATTATCATTCAATATTTGACACTGTAACTTACCAAGCTCGGTCATCAGAATTATCATTTAATATTTCACACTGTAACTTACCAAGCTCGGTCCATCAGAATTATCATTTAATATTTGATGCCAACATTGTCTGTGATTTAAGTGAGGAAAATCATCCTTATTATATTCTTCAGCATATAATTCGTACAACTTCTCCATCTGTGAATATAATAATACATAAACTTGATACTTGGATTATAGGGAGAGATTGTATCCAGGGATACTTGGGGTATAGGGATAGTTTGTATCCAGGGATACTTGGGTTATAGGGATAGTTTACATTCGGGGATACTTGGGTTATAGGGGTGGTGGTGGGGGGGGGGGGTGGATGGCTGAATAGTTAGCTCGTGCGCGCTGTATCATAAGGTCTGGCATTGAATCAAGTGGCGTGGTTTCGATTCCCCAGGTTGTACGTGACAAGGAGTAGGGTAGCCTGGCCAACCTCATGGGTTTTCTCCGGGTCCTCTGGTTTCCTCCCACTGCTTAAGACCCCTACGCGCAAGCGAATTATTGAAATAAAATTGAACCATGTGTTAAACCCCAAATAACCTAGTTTGTGTCGAGTGTACGTTAAACTCTCCCTCCTCCTCCTCTCCCTCTCTCTCTACTGGTGATTCATACACCAGAATCAATCTGATTAAAAGACAGAACTATATTTTGTGACATTATTTTACACTTTTGATAGCCTTTACTACATGAAGATCTGATCGGTTGTAGTGGAAGGGTGTGTCAGAGGTCATGCGAGTAGCTTTTGGCCCTATGACATCAGACATTTAACCAATCAGCGTTGATGTTTTTAGTGGGTTACCCACAGTTCTGTGCACCTCACGCCATGAACATGCCGTAACAGACCGTTTCATTGGCTCATCCCTCACATCATTCAGAACACTGATAATGATAACAACTCTTCCAGATCCAAGTGTAGTAAAGACAAGTAAAACGAAATTTTGAATTTTAAAAACGAAACGAAATAGGATCTGTGTTTTAATCAAATTGAAACCAGAATTACACCTGGTGGTATATCTCACCAATCTGACCTTACATTTCTTTAAGTTGTTGTGTGAGACTGTGAAAGGATATCTGAAAAATTGATCGTCACTAGATAAGAGAACATGAAAGATCAATAGAAAAAGTCTGTGCATTACCAAGTGTTTATAAGTATAGAATGAATAAACACACGTGAATGTACGGACTGTTTCTATTTTTCTCGTGTTCTCTTATCTAATGACATTCAGTTACTTTTTTTAATTGTCAGATATACTCTTACAGTCTCAGATAACAACTTTTGGTCTTTGAAAGAATTATCAGTGAGCAGAAATTCGCCCATGTTTCTGTTATCACCCGTCACTTCAGTCAGTTATATAGAGGAATAACTCGTGTTTTCCTTTTGTGTTCGTCACTTCTGATTGTTGAAGCATTGATTATGCATCTATCGTAGCAATGATCTCTGTGATAAAATAATATTTGGAACGTATTTAACCAGTTCTATCACATATGTGATAATGACTGGCACCAATCACTGTAACCCAGGTGTCATTTAATCTTGTGTATCTAGCACTAATTTCTTTCAAAAATTAATCATTATACATCATTAATCAATTGGGTTGTTTATCTTCTAACAATGATTGAGAAATTAAACGCTTGTAAATTGGACACTCATTATCAAAATTGAATGGTCAGCTTTAAACAGGACACAAGTACAAATTAAATAATTTATGGTGATTTTAAACAGTTTTTACAAATTTTTAAACAAAGATTTGATATTAAACGAATGTGAAAGAAATTGGTGCTAGATACACAAGATTAAACGATACCTGGGTTACAGTGAATATTGTCCTTTAATGGAAAACTTCACTAGTGTGGTCTCAGTGCACAAATATATTTGCCTCAACTTGCACAATGTCTAATAATAAAAATTCTTACTTTTTTAATTTCTTCTGAGCGTATTTTTTCTTTCACAAGACAATGCTGCCATACTTTGTTACCCAGTGCTTTTCTTAAGTAAGATAGTCTTGGACTGTAGGTCTCAGAATAGTTTAACATATGCTTAATTTCCTGTTTAAATTAAAAAAAAAACCCCCAAATAATTCTTAAAACTATTATCATCTCATTAACCTGAGGTTATTGACACAAAGATTTTCATTAAAACCTGAGGTTATTGACACAAAGATTTTCATTAAAACCTGAGGTTATTGACACAAACATTTTCATTATAAACCTGAGGTTACCGACACAAACATTTTTATTAAAACCTGAGCTTTCTGACACAAACATTTTCATTATAAACCTGGGGTTATTGACAAAAACATTTTCATTGTAAACCTGAGCTTTCTGACACAAACATTTTCATTATAAACCTGGGGTTATTGACAAAAACATTTTCATTGTAAACCTGAGCTTTCTGACACAAACATTTTCATTATAAACCTGGGGTTATTGACAAAAACATTTTCATTGTAAACCTGAGGCTATTGACACAAACATTTTCATTATAAACCTGGGGTTATTGACAAAAACATTTTCATTGTAAACCTGAGGCTATTGACACAAACATTTTCATTATAAACCTGGGGTTACTGACAAAAACATTTTCATTGTAAACCTGAGGCTATTGACACAAACATTTTCATTATAAACCTGGGGTTATTGACAAAAACATTTTCATTGTAAACCTGAGCTTTCTGACACAAACATTATCATTATAAACCTGGGGTTATTGACAAAAACATTTTCATTGTAAACCTGAGGCTATTGACACAAACAATTTCATTATAAACGTGAGGCTATTGGCTGTTCCACCAAGATAATCAAGTTTTCATTATATAAATACTAATAACTGAAGGATTTGAGTGAAATCGAAGATTAACAATGACTACACTCGGGTCAAATTGAAGATTAACAATGACTACACTCGGGTCAAATTGAAGATTAACAATGACTACACTCAAGTCAAATTGAAGATTAACAATGACTACACTCGGGTCAAATTGAAGATTAACAATGACTACACTCGGGTCAAATTGAAGATTAACAATGACTACACTCGGGTCAAATTGAAGATTAACAATGACTACACTCGGGTCAAATTGAAGATTAACAATGACTACACTCGGGTCAAATTGAAGATTAACAATGACTACACTCGGGTCAAATTGAAGATTAACAATGACTACACTCGGGTCAAATTGAAGATTAACAATCACTACAAGACATACAAATGATGTTGATGTTTGCTACAGAGAATTCTGGCACATCTTCTCAGTTTAAAAAAAGTATTTGAACTGGAAACAGTGAGTGAGTAAATATTGGTAATAGTACCTGTAATGCCAATTCAGCATATTCATATGGTGTCATCATCTTTAAAAACGGGTAGATATTATACGAACGGCTTCCTGAAATTAAAAAATAAATTTAGTTTTTGATTTACCAGACTACTAAGCAATATTCTGTACTGTCACATGTTTAGAGGTTTATATAGTGTACTGTGATGGGTGTTCTGTACTGTCTCATGTTTAGAGGGTTTATATGGTGTACTGTGATGTGTTCTGTACCATCTCATGTTTAGAGGTATATATGATGTACTGTGATGGGTGTTCTGTACTGTCACATGTTTAGAGGTTTATATGGTGTACTGTGATGTGTTCTGTACTGTCTCATGTTTAGAGGGTTTATATGGTGTACTGTGATGTGTTCTGTACCATCTCATGTTTAGAGGTATATATGATGTACTGTGATGGGTGTTCTGTACTGTCACATGTTTAGAGGTTTATATGGTGTACTGTGATGTGTTCTGTACTGCCTTGTGTTTAGAGGTTTATATGATGTACTGTGATGTGTGTTCTGTACTGCCTTGTGTTTAGAGGTTTATATGATTTACTGTGATGTGTGTTCTGTACTGCCTTGTGTTTAGAGGTTTATATGATGTACTGTGATGTGTGTTCTGTACTGCCTTGTGTTTAGAGGTTTATATGGTGTACTGTGATGTGTTCTGTACTGCCTTGTGTTTAGAGGTTTATATGGTGTACTGTGATGTGTGTTCTGTACTGCCTTGTGTTTAGAGGTTTATATGGTGTGCTGTGATGTGTTCTGTACTGCCTTGTGTTTAGAGGTTTATATGATGTACTGTGATGTGTGTTCTGTACTGCCTTGTGTTTAGAGGTTTATATGGTGTACTGTGATGTGTGTTCTGTACTCACTGCCATAAATACTGTACAGGGAGCTTATTCATGAAAACTGTTTAAAATATTTTAAAGATACAGCCTTTTCGGTGTTAAAATCCTTGTATAAATTTTAGTTCTTAGCTGCTGAATAAGGCCTCTGATAGTTGAGATAAATTTTGTACTGATTTTTGGGTTTTGAGATAAATTCTGTACTGATAGTTGAGATAAATTCTGTACTATTAGTTGGGATAAACCATGTACTGATTGTTGAGATAAATTCTGTACTGATAGTTGAGATACATTATGTACTGATAGTTGAGATAAATTCTGTACTATTAGTTGGGATAAACCATGTACTGATTGTTGAGATAAATTCTGTACTGATAGTTGAGATACATTATGTACTGATAGTTGAGATATATAATGTACTGAATGTTTTGTGGATGAAACATAAATACCTAAACAACTTGTAAAATATTTTTAATTTTACCTACTTTCACTTTTTCTTTGATAATATTTCAGTTTGTTTTTAAATGCCTTGATCAATGATTTTCTCCACTCTTCTCGAAGCTCGCACAATTTCTCTCTCTGTTAAAGTAAAAAAAATAAAAAAAAATGAAATGAAATAGGGTTTAACGCAGTGATGGGATTTCAAAAATTTTCTTGTCAAACATTTTTGTCCCGCAAATAAAGGGGCATAACACTTATCATTATTTAAGCAGGTGTTTTCAAACCACAATTAAGAATCACATGTCAACAAAATATTCAAATTCATACGTAATAAAAAAATAGGTGAACCTCGTTATTTTTCATGTTTAATTCCTGTACCGTATACAAATTTATGTCAATAATATTCCTACAAAATTACGTGACATCGTAATACCATAGAATGAAAGCATGCCGACTACAGTCGATCCATACCTGATTCAGATTCCTCCAAAATTACCGTATTTTTCGGGTCATAAGTCAATACATTTTTCAGCAGAAGTCGATACATTTTTCAGCAGAAGTTCGGCATACGTCTTACAGTCTGTTTTGACTTGGGGGCTTGGATGGCCGAATGGTTAGCACATGCGCACGCTCTATCATAAGGTCTGTCATTGAGTCAACTGGTGGGGGTTTCGATTCCCCGGTTGTACGTGACAAGGAGTAGGGTCGCCTGTCCAACCTCGTGGGTTTTCTCCGGGTCCTCCGGTTTCCTCCCACTGCTAAAGACCCCTACGGGCAAGCGAATTATTGAAATAAAATTGGACCATGTGTTAGTCCCAAAATGACCTAGTTTGTGTCGATTGGACGTTAAACCCCATTTCTCTCTCTCTTTCTGTTTCAACTTATATATACGGAAGGTAAAAAAAAATGACGTCCCGATATTCATTTGGCAGTAAACGTCGCTCTTCCACAAAAAGCGAGTGACACCAACTGCTAAATAATCGCATTCGACTCCAGCACGCACTATATTCTAAAACAATTAACTACTTAGGGCCTACATTATTCCAATCGAAATATACATCAACATTTCTTAGCGTGTTTATTTATTTATTTAAAAACATAAACCCCATTAAAAATATTATCATAATTTCGAGAATATGCCATCAAAATAGAATTTTTTCCCCAACATCAGACGTATGAGATTTGGCACATTACATATCATAAAGTCTGTCATTGAGTCGACTGGCGTGGTTTCGAATCCCCGGTTGTACGTGACAAGGAGTAGGGTCTCCTGTCCAACCTCGTTGTGGGGTCCTCCGGTTTCCTCCCACTGCTAAAGACCCCTACACGCAAGCGAATTATTGAAATAAAATTAAATCATATGTTACTCCCGAAATGACCTACAGTTTGTGTCGAGTATCTCTCTCTCTCTCTCTCTTCCCCCCCGCTATCTCTCTTTTCCCCCCCCTCTCTCCCTCTCTCCCCCTCTCCCTCTCTCTCTATAACCTACCATATCTAGAGTATGATCTGTTGGTTTAGGTTTTTTATATATTGATGAAACTGTAATAGAGCCCTTTAACTCCCAGTTCAACTGTAATTTGGCCCTTTTCTTTATCTCCTCTGTCGATAAAACACCAGTGAATGGATTACTCTCTATAACCTAAAATAGAAATATTATTATAACAACCTGTGGATGAAATGAAATGAGGTTTAATGTCCTACTGTTCTGCTCCGAACTGGGCTAATGAAGACGGGCATATGCCATACAGTGTGCTATGAGGGAAATTTTGCCCGGACAGTGGCACTACAGCCTACTTTTATATCAAATTCCATCTGTCAAGGGATTTTTTACGTGCACATGTGTACACGGGTTCTCAGTTTTTCGTCCCATCCGAAAGACTAGACAGCTGTTTTTGTCAGACCCTCCATGTGGATGTCACTGTAACCTGGGTATCATTTGATCTTGTGTATCTAGCACTAATTTCTTTCACATTCTTTTAATATCAATTCTTTGTTTAAAAATTCGTAAAAATCATTTAAAATCACCCAAAATCATCTAATTTGTACTTGTGTCCAGTTTAAAGCTGACTGATTAATTTTACTAATGAGTGTCTAATTTACAAGTATTTAATTTCCTGACCACTGTTCAAAAATTAATCATTATACATCAATAATCAATTGGGTTGTTTATTTTTTAACAGTGATCGAGAAATCAAACGCTTGTAAATTGGACGTTAAAACCTTCCAACCCAAGCAAGTGTAGTTAATGTTATTTATTATTCAGAAAGTAACAAAACTTAGTTGTGTATAGGATCTAAGCTAAAAGATTCAATTGCTGCTTAACCTAATGATATGATTCCTACTTAACCTCCCTGGTGATCATACTCCTACTTAACCTCCCTGATGATCTCACTCCAACTTAACCTCCTTGATGATATGATTCCTACTTAACCTCCCTGGTGATCATACTCCTACTTAACCTCCCTGATGATCTCACTCCTACTTCACCTCCCTGATGATCTGATTCCTACTTAACCTCCCTGGTGATCATACTCCTACTTAACCTCCCTGATGATCTCACTCCTACTTAACCTCCCTGGTGATCATACTCCTACTTAACCTCCCTGATGATATGATTCCTACTTAACCTCCTTGATGATCTCACTCCTACTTCACCTCCCTGATGATCTGATTCCTGATTAACCTCCCTGATGATCTCACTCCTACTTACCCTCCCTGATGATCACACTCCTACTTAACCTCCCTGATGATCTCACCCATACTTAACCTCCCTGATGATCTGATTCCTGATAAACCTTCCTGATGATCTCACTCCAACTTAACCTCCCTGATGATCTCACTCCAACTTAACCTCCCTGATGATATGATTCCTACTTAACCTCCTTGATGATCTCACTCCTACTTAACCTCCCTGATGATCTCACTCCTACTTAACCTCCCTGATGATCATACTCCTACTTACCCTCCCTGATGATCACACTCCTACTTAACCTCCCTGATGATCACACTCCTACTTAACCTCCCTGATGATCTCACTTCTACTTAACCTCCCTTCTACTTAACCTCCCTGATAATCTCACCCCTACTTAACCTCCCTGATGATCTCACTCCTACTTACCCTCCCTGATGATCTCACTCCTACTTACCCTCCCTGATGATCTCACTCCTACTTACCCTCCCTGATGATCTCACTCCTACTTAACCTCCCTGATGATTCCTACTTAACCTCCCTGATAATCTCACCCCTACTTAACCTCCCTGATAATCTCACCCCTACTTAACCTCCCTGGTGATCACCCCTACTTAACCTCCCTGATGATCACACTCCTACTTAACCTCCCTGATGATTTCACTTCTACCTAACCTCCCCAATAAACTTATAATTACCTGATCTGGTGGTAGTTTATCATTTAAAGGTGACAATAATTCCCCTTCGTATAATTTGGGTTCTGGAGGACTGTTAGGTATATAATAAGGATCAGCTGACTGTATTGCCTGACAATGTAAATAAGAAAATAAACAGTTTGAGACGTGCCTTAAAATTTACCTACAAATCTTTATCACCTCAAGATTCAATTTAACTAAATGCAGAGAAAAGAAATGGAATTTAATCTCAACACAATATTCTGGCCATTTTGAAACTAAACTGATTACAAGTTGAATAACTTTGGTTATTATAGGGCGGTTGGGACTCTAAATGATCTAACGCATCTACTTTAGACCATTAGGTCTGTCAAGTGGCATGGTTTCGATACCAAACTTGAACCTGACAAGTACGAAAATGAAATGAAATGGTGTTTAACATGCTACTGTTCTGCTCCGACTGGGCATACGATAGGAGGGAAATTTTGCCTGGGCAGCAGCACTATGGCTTACTCTTTATATCAAATTCAACCTGCCAAGGAATCTTTTACGTGAGCGCCAATATATACGCAGGATCTCGTTTTTTGTCCCATCTGAACGACTAGACAGCTGTCCCTGTCAGACCCTCCATCCTGCACTACTGCCAATACAGGGATCGAACACCTGACCTCCAGGCCAGCGAGCCAGCGTCTTACCCACTTAGCCACCGTGACTCCTGACAAGGATGAAGGTTGCCTGTCCGTTTTTGTCTCTAGCTGATTTTCTCTAACTGCTTAAGACCTCTACGCGCAAGAGAATAATTAACAAAATGTACCAGTTGTTAGTCCCAAAATGACCGAACGACTATGGAACGAAAAAACAAGGTGCTGTGTTTATATTGGCGAGCATGTAAAAGAACTCTTGGCAGCTGGAATTCGATATATAAGAGTAGGCCGTAGTGCCGCTGCCCGGGCAAAATTTCCCCCTCATTGCACACTGTATGGTGTATGTCCGTCTTCATTAGCCCAGTCGGAACAGAACAGTAGAACGTTAAACCCTATCTCATTTCATTCCTTTTATACTAGTCTATTAAGCCCCTGTCAGACCCGCCCGGCATCCTTACTGCGCTGCTGCGACCGAACAGCGAACAGAAAATGCACAAGGTCGCCGGCAAACATGAACACTACATGAGAAAATGTCCATAAAAAAATTACCAACTTGAAAAAAGTTGCCTCCTCACAGCTTTCCAGGTCAGATCACATAACCTTGGCGTTTGTTTTGAACATGCTCAAAACAATCGCTGTGACTCGGCGATCATTGGCGACCACTGCACGATATCTGGCGTTTCCATAACGCTTTTACCACGCTAATGCCGCTCTTGACGCGCTCTGGGACCATTTTCCATCACCGTAGCAGCGCAGTAAGGACACCATCCCGGTTTGACGGGGGTATTACTTACCTTCAAGATGCACTGTCTTTCATCTCTCTTAAACGTACATTCATTAAACAAATCTTTCACATCTAATTTCTAAAAATAAACCAAATATAAATACTTTTTAAACATACATTATACAAGAGCTAAATCTGCCGACTTTCTTAAGACCTTAAATGTTATCTAAATTATTAATTAGACATTAATTAACTTATCCAAACCATAATGTATAATCGAGACTATGTTTTGTACCGACTTTAGTAATGATATGAGGCTGGGCCTAAATTCTCGGTTCAGAGTGGATCAATTTGACTGAAATTTATGAATAAATGAACAGCAATTAGATAGTGACATCGAAAATCGACCAAGGCTTTTTGGAGAGAATTAATCCATGGTTTAGGGGACGATTTTGCCCACTATTTTAAACCTAACCCTGGGCCAAGCCTAACCCCTATCCTAACCCACAATCCTCCAGGATTTAGATACAGAGCTGGCCGTTCTCGCTTCTCTGAATTAAATCATTATATGGCCGAACCATTCTAATCTACTTAATATTGGAAAATGAAATGAAATGGGGTTTAACATCCTACTATTCTGCTCCGACTGGGCTAATGAAGACGGACATACTTCATGTAATGTGCTATGAGGGAAATTTTGCTCGGGCAGTAACACTACAGCCTACTCTTATATCGCATTCTAACTGCCAAGAGATCTTTTACGTGCATGCCAATGTATACACAGGACCTCATTTTTTTGTCCCATCCAAATGACTAGACAGCTTGCCATAAATGTCTAATTAACCATTTAGCTCTTACATGCTGCCTGTTTAAATTAACCAAGTAAATTTTAGTAGAATCTGAACTGCCTGTCATTCTGCAGTTTAAACTTCATACCTCAATTACCATTTCATCCAGAATTTTTCGACATGCCGTTTCATCTATTACTTCTGGACGACCAAGACACTCCAAATAGCCGGCATATGTCTTGTAATTTGGGACTAGATTATCTTTACGTATAAACATCATTAATTCTTCAATAGGCTCTGTCTTCATCTGCAAAAATATAAAAATTTATCATAATTAGTATTACTAATGATAATTTAAATAAACATTAATTAGTATTACTAATGATAATTCAAATAAACATTAATTAGTATTACTAATAATAATTTAAATCATCATTAATTAGTATTACTAATAATAATTTAAATAAACATTAATTAGTATTACTAATGATAATTTAAATCATCATTAATTAGTATTACTAATAATAAGGCCGTGTTGAATTGATTCCTTGTTTCTTCTGCCACCACTCAGGCAATCATGTGCGGTAGTGCGGTAAACACAACACAAAGTGGGTTTCAAAACACAAAGTGGTCTGGCATAATACCTATATAGTCTGAGGGTTGTGTACCATTTTTAATAATATTATAAATAATCTAGTTATATTATTGGTTAGAATAAAAACACAGATAATATTTAATTAAATAAATTTAATAACAAACTAAAATTTGGTAACAAGTGGCTTCTTTGTTTAACTTTTTAAAAAAATGAAATAACCATATTTTGATATAAATTTTCTGTATTCTTGTGTTAAAATACAATGGAAACATTCCAGTTAGACGATATTTGATTCGCTTGTTGAGTTATAGATGGTTTCGATAATATCATCGAACGTGAAAGTGCTGGGAATAACCACCAAAGTCGAGTCGAGATAAGTAAATTCGCGTACCGGTCGGCCTAATTTATTTATTGATGTTCAAGGAACTAATATAGTGGTCCCGTTTGTTCGTTCGTTCGTTAAACTCCAGAAACGAACGTACGAGCGAACGGGGCCACTATTATTTCCTTGAACATCAATAAATTAGGCCGACCAGTACGCGAATTTACCTATGTCCCGGCATAGCTCACCATTTTGTAAGGCGTGCGTTATTTATTACACAAGATATGATTGGGTAATACTTGAATAATAATGACATGTGTTATAATTTTAGCCAATGAAAAATTGATTATTCAGGTTCGCGGTTGAATATCAGCGATTGTCTTACAGTTTATAATATGCTTTCTCATTAGCCGAAATGACTGCTACACGCGCCATTTTGAGGAATTCATCCAATCATATACAGTGTAACTTATTCCATAGTATGCGGGCCCCTACATGTGTATTATCAACCGGATCCATTCACTTGATTTGATATTTGTTTATTCGGTGCAATGCCTATTTTCTGTCTTGTCCGCAGGTTTATCTTGTAGATTTTTGTTTTGCGTGTAGTGCGGCCCCCTGCACTTACTTATTTAGTTCGTAACGAGGAATAAACAACGAGAATTGACTTCTGATGTTTGGTAGAATTGTATTTAGATGTTATTAACCGAAATTTTTTGAATATTTTTTTTTTGTGTTAAAAACGTAAGCGCACGATTTTCGGGGTCCTCGACCTAAGCGCGCGGGCGAGGAGAAACAAGGAATCAATTCAACACGGCCTAATTTAAATCATCATTAATTAGTATTACTAATAATAATTTAAATCATCATTAATTAGTATTACTAATAATAATTTAAATCATCATTAATTAGTATTACTAATAATAATTTAATTCATCCTTAATTATTATTACTAATGATAATTTAAATAATCATTAATTAGGTGACAATCTTAGTAATCTTTATTAGTACTACTAATTATAATTTACGATTTTTTAAGTAATCATTAATTAGCAGTACTAATGATAATTTACATAGTCATTAATTATTATTACTAATGATAATTCAAATAAGCATTAATTAGCAGTACTAATGATAATTTACATAGTCATTAATTAGTAATACTAATGATAATTCAAATAATCATTATATTAATTGAAATTTGCATGTGAAAAGATCTGAAACCAAGTGATGGAAGTTGTAACACAGATTTGTACAATGGTTGTCATTCTTTCTTTGTTAAAGACAATAGAATCTTCGCCAAGACATAGCCAAACATAAACTTTTAAGTAACTTGTATTCCATAATAGTGTATAATTATAATGCAAGAGCAAAACACTATGTACATTAAATATCTTTACTATTTACACAACAGTATATTCGGTTAAATACAACTCCATTCACATTTAGACAGATGAGTCTTTAATCTTGATTTGAATGATTCAAGTGAAGGGGCAGATTTTACTCTTAATGGTAAGGAATTCCATAGATTAGGAGCACTGAACTGGAAAGATTTGTATCCAAAAGTTTAAAGGTTAAATTTGGGAATTTCTTGTAAATGCTAGTCTTGGGATCGTTTATAATACACATGAATATGATCAGACAGATACATGTATGAGCTGCTCCCACAAAACCAGGCTCTTGGTCATTTATATAAAAAAACGGAGTTGGCAGCATATTTGACTTATGTTTGGTGTGCATGTAAAAGATCCCTTGGCAGTTGGAATTCAAAATAAGAGTAAGTAGTAGCTCTGCGGTCTCGGAAATTTTTCGCTGCATCGCACATTCCATGGTGTATACCCCTCTTCATTAGCCAAGTCATTTTTGGGGAAGCTGTGTGTCAATACTTGTGACAGGTGCCCTGTGTATATTACGATGTACTTGATGATATGTGACAGGTGCCCTTGTGTATATCATATATTGTATATTGTATATTATATATATGTATTTACCTGTTTAGCCCAGCTGTGAATGAGAATATTATAGATATTTATATCTGTTATTTTTACATCAATACCATACAACTTGTACGGATAACAGTTGTAATACTTTATACAGTTATGAGCTATCCGATGCTGGAATAAAAAAAATACAGATTTGAATGAAGAGGTCTATTTCTCAATAGCTGAATGGTTAGCTTGTGTACGTTGTATCATAAGGTCAGTCATTGAGTCAACTGGCGTGGTTTTGATTCCCCGGTTGTACCTGACAACCTCTTGGGTTTTCTCTCTGGGTCCTCCGGTTTCCACCCACTGCTGAAGACCGCTACGCGCAAGCAAATTATTGAAATAAAACTGAACCATGTGTTAGTCCTGACCTAGTTTGTGTTGAGTGGACATTAAACCCATCTCTCTATCTCTCATTGATTCAAGTGGTGTGGTTTCGATTCCCTGCTTGTACATGGCAAGGAGTTGGGTCATTTGTCCAACCTCGTGGGTTTTCCCCGGGTCCTCCTGCTAAAGACCACTACCTGCAAGCGAATTATTAAAATAAAATGCAACCATATATTAGTCCCAAAATGACCTAGTTTGTGTCGAATGGACTTTAAACATCAGAGAGAGAGGGTTGATGGTCAACAATATTTCATGTTAAATGGAACTTTTAAAATCATATTAGTAACAACCAACAAAACATGCATCCAAAATTTGATTGTAAATTTTCAAGGTAACCTACATGTGTCGTTGACTTACATGTAAGAACAAATAATTTTGACAAATAAAAATATTGACACAAAGAGATTTACATGTAAGTCGTCATTTTATGTACCCAATTATTTTTAAATCTGTTGACCCCCCTCACTGTCACAGATACAGGACAGAGTGCCTGGGAAGGGACAATGTATGGGCATTCAGAAGGGACGCGGTCTACCGTACACATTGACATTAGCGTAAAAGATCCCTTGGCAATTCGAATTCGATAAAAGAGCAAGGTGTAGCGCTGCTGTCCAGGCAAAATTCCCCTTATAGATCACGGCAAGGTGTATGTCTGTCTTCATGAGCACGGTCAGAGCAGACCGGTAGGACTTTAAACCCCATTTCATTTCATTTTAAAATATATTTCAAGATATCCACACCTACCTTACCCACAGAACAACAAGCTTCAACAAAGGATTTTTTATCCACATTAAAATTTGATATCAATTTTTCCTTGTTAACAAGTTTTTTTTTTATACTGTCTTTGCCTTTATCTACTGAAGTTATTCCATTAATTTCTTCCGCTGGAACAACAACATCTGATTCCAAAGACGACGATGTCCCATGTGTAAATTGCGGAGATAAAATAATTGAACTTTCCTCAGACAGATATTCTGGATTGCATGGCGATGATGTCATAGCCTCCTCTGATGACATCATAACCGCCTCCGATGACATCACAACCTCCTCCGATGATGTCATACCCTCCTCCGATGACATCATAACCTCCTCCGATGACAACATAACCTCCCCCGGCAATGACATCTCTTCCTTAAAAGGTAGAGATAAAAATTCTTCGTTTAACTCCTCTGTCAAAAGATAAGAATTCGTTGACATATGCTTCGGTTCATTGTTAATTTCGTTAAGTATCACAGTTTCTGTGGAAGGCACATCAATTTGTTTACATTTATCAACACTATCACTGAAAACTCTCTTCTCTGTGGTTTCAGAATAGTTTTCATCTTTGGTAAAGTTTTCTTGTAATTTTTCATTTTCGATTGTACGTTCTAAGTTATTTCTGTTTTTGCCACGGCCACATGAATTCATCTGTAATTTAAATGCAGATAACTGTGTTAACCAATTTGCATTCTGGGATGCAACGTTTACACTATCGATCGTTCCACAATTTGAACTGGAGAAATATGGCCCTGTATCTGTTGTTTTTGTGTTGACTAAAGTTCCAAAGTTCACAGCATCTATTCGTATAATGTCATCTGTTTTTGGAAACAGTTGCACTTTCGAGGCAGGTGATGTGTAATTTATTTTTTTTGAAAGATTTGGGTTATCAATAAGAAATGGAAAATTATTGTCAATTTGCGAAACTGGGTGGTTGATGTTTGTTTCTTCAGCCTCTTTATTTAACGCTGGACTAGATTGAGATGACTTGTTAACAGTTTGCTGTTCTTTGGCTAAAAATGACACTCGTGCTCCTAGAACTAAAAGATAAATGTTATTTTAAAAAACTTTGTCATTTTCATAACCAGAGGAGAGAGAGAGAGAGAGAGAGAGGTCCACTGTCCACTCGACACAAACTAGGTCATTTCGGGACTAAAACATGGTCGATTTTATTTCAATATTTTGTTTGTCCATAGGGGTCTTTAGCAGTGGGAGGAAACCGGAAGACCTTGGGAAACCCAAGAGGTTGGACAGGCGACCCTACTCCTTGTCACGTACAATCAAGGAATTAAAACCATGCCAGTTGATTCAATGACAGACTTTATGATACAGTGCACACACGCTAACCATTCAGCCATCCAACCCCCCCCCCCCCTCCAGTGTTGAACAAGAAAGATTTGTGCATATATTGACATGCACATAAAAGAACTCCTGGCAGTTGGAATTTGATATATACGATTAGGCCATAGTTCCGCTGGATGGGCAAAATATCATAGCAGACTGTATGGTGTATGCCTGTCTTCATTAGCCCAGTTCGGAACAGAACAGTAGGACGTTAAAACCCATTTCATTTCATTTCAAGGGGTAACCATACCTGCAGTTAAATCACGGTGAATTTTTCTTGCAATCGTAGATCCTTTCTTTCTCTTTCGAACTTTCGTTTTCTTTGTTTGCATCATCAGTGCTTGTTTAACATGAAGAGAATTGGAAAAGAGATTACAATTTGTTGAAATCTGACATGCTGAAATAAAAAACAAAAACACATTCATGACATATCACCCATACACAAATTGATTTAGTTTGTGACAAGTGGAAATTAAGCTCTCTCTCTCTCTCTATCTCTCTCTCTCTCCTTTCCTCTCTCTCTCTCTCTCTCTCTCCTTTCCTCTCTCTCTCTCTCTCTCTCTCTCTCTCTCTCTCATTCAGATCAAATCTAGTTTGTATCATTTCTGAACAGCAATTTTTTTAACAGAAACACATCAAAGATCATTCATACTTTTTGCCATAATCGTGATTGATTTAATTTGTGACAAGTGGAAATTAAGCCCTGTTTCTCTCTCTCTCTGTTATGCAGATAAAATCTAGTTTGTATCTTCTGAGCAGATATATTGTAAACAGAAACCCATCAAAGAAGATTCATACTTTTTGCCATAATCGTTATTGAAGCCATTGACTGTTGTTCATTATTAAATATGTTATCAAATATAGATCTATATGATGCAAGATGAAATACTGGAAGATTTGGGTGGATTTGATACAGGCCCGTAGCTAGCGGGAGGGGCAAGAGGGGCAGATGCCGACCCCCCCTACCCTGGGCGCAATACAAAGACAACGTGCCCATAACTATAACATTATATGATTATCAGTATGGGCACCCCATAAAGCCGAGTGGGGATCACGTGGCTAAGTGGGTAAGACGCTAGCTCGCTAGCCTGGAGGTCGGGTGTTCGATCCCTGCATTGGCCGAGAAAGTTCATCCAGATTTTCCGGCGTGGTTCTCCCTTGTCAGTGATGCAGGACGGAGGGGCTGACAAGGAAAGCTGTCTAGTCGTTCGGATGGGACGAAAAACCGAGGTCCCGTGTACACATTGGCGTGCACGTAAAAGATCCCTTGGCAGTTGGAATTCGATATAAGAGTAGGCCGTAGTGCCGCTGTCCGGGCAAAATTTCCCTCATAGCACACTGTATGGCGTATGCCCGTCTTCATTAGCCCAGTTCGGAGCAGAACAGTAGGACGTAAAACCCCATTTCATTTCATTTCATTTCATAAAGCCGAGTGACTGACATTGGTTGGGCTGCCCTCTGGTAACGACCTCTAACCGCTAGCTAAAGCCCTGTAGTCAGCTTGTTGGGGGGAGCGCAATTATTTCAATCAATCAAGTGTCCCCTGGTAGGCTGTAACGTATTTTATTTTTGCTCCCCAGTCCCACGGATCACAAGTGTAATGTAATTAATCATTTACATTTACAGACAATGTTTTAGAATATAATTCAAACAAAACAACAAGCTGCAATACAATTGATTTTTCTCTGATTTCATGCGTGTCAGTAATCGTGGAACGGCTCAAACTTTTGTTTGTCGAACTTCAATATCATTCAAATGACAGCAAATGAAATAATAATAAAAAAACTTACTTTGGTGACATTGCACGGGCATAATATGAAACCTTTCACAAAGGGCATCCTTTGAATAAATAGAAATATTATTTACACGACTGTAGTAGCAACAACGACCTGCATAAATATTATATAATTGACAATTGAGTCGCAATAATCGCGACATGTTTTGGTTTTGTAATCCATGTGCTATCATTAAACTTCCGGTGACCTTGAGAGGGATACTTCGTTTAATGGAATCATATTTAGGAATATTATTTAGATTTTGTACACAAATCAATCACAAATCAACACCCGTACTTTATTGATATTCTTCTGCTGGTGAAATAATATCAAATTAAACCATTGTTTTAAAAATAATTTGCAATGTACAAGGGCTATACTTTACAACAATAATCGGTCCCCGGAAGTTCAATATTATTATTTCAGAAATTTCATAATTTGCATTCGCGGGAAGAACAAAACTCGGTTGTAATAAAAACAAATAATATTTAGTGTCAAAGACACGCGTGGAATTAATGTTACGTATGTATATGTAAGATATTATCTGTAAGTATAATGGCGGCCATTTTAGAACGATAATAATAATACGCAGTTTCAAATAATATGCCACCTCTGGCTCTAACCTTACCTTGTCCCGTGTTCGACTATTCCTAGATAACAAACCTCATCTCTCAACCCTCCGTGTTTCGAGATAAGAGATGGCCCAATATAGTTCCACGTAGCAATGCCCAACACAAATCGCATCGAGCATCAGTAAGCAAAATTGACAATATTTTTTATCAAAACAACGATTGATTATTGTTATTTATAACATTTCTGCCACATCCAACAGCAAAAAATCCTGCCGGACACGGGTACAAATCCCCACTTTTTAAATTGAAGCGATACAAGATTGCTTTCACGGACATTTTAAATTTACGTCTTTAACACATAAAGGCGGGGCCTCGTGTGCAATAGCCAATCAAAGTACTAACCTGATCAGAGTTGCGCAGGAGTAATTACGCTGTAATTATGAATGTCCGTATCAATTTTGATAAAAACAACGCTTGATTTACTTTATTGTCAATATTTGCTGATAAATGACTGTTGTAGCAGTAGATTGGGCTACATATGTGTAGGCCTAATAAGTACTAATAGTATAAAATTAACTAATTTTTAAGTTGGTACATGCATTAATAAAGAAATTAAGTTTGCCAGGGAAAACTAAGGGCACCCAATCGTAGCTAAAAACAAGCACATCAGTATATCTCAACATTTTTAGTTACGTTCTCATTATAGCTAGATCATTCCCATGTTCCTGAAGCAACGACCTCGAGTTTTACAACATCTAGCCGTTGCTTCAATACTCAACAATTCCCGAATTTTTGCGCTCGTTGTGTTTACACTGACTAATTAGCATTGTCCAATCAGAAGTCGTGGCACATATTACACACTGTAAACAAATATGGCGGCCTCCATAGAAAAAGAAATAGACAAGTTTACAGCCTTTGTTGATCAACCACGATTTCCAGCAACCTTGACATTGATCGATCCTTGAACTTTGCAATTCGATTGTCACATGTAGACAATTTAGCTAGAAGCGCGAGACTTGATAATCGTAACAATATTTTTAACGAAGGAATCTGATAGGATCACAAGCTGGGCTTATACCCAATCAAAATTAGTGCTAAAATATGCGGGGTATTACGTGAAGGGCTTGATAAGATGTACGTAGTTAAGGCGAGATCAAGCCTTCTATTGGCCGAGAAAGTTCATCAGGATTTTCCGGAGTGGTTCCTCCTTGAGAGGGGTGCAGGACCGAGGGCCTGGCAAGGGAAAACTTATAGTCATTCGGATGGGACGAAAAACCAAGGTCCCGTGTAAGCTACACAATGGCATGCACGTTAAAGATCCCATGGCAGTTACGTAAGACTAAGAGTAGGCCGAGATTAGTTCACTGATGTTATTAGGATATAGTTGGATGGAAGATACTAGGTGTACGAACGTGCAATAGCGCCTATAGTTGTAACTTGTTGGTTGGTATTATGAATACAAATCTTTCTATCTGAACCATCGTAAATTTGGAACAGATTTCTTCGATTATGAACAAACTACTTAACCTGGAATATTTAATTGTACAATGGAATTCATTTAACCAGAGTTGATTTCAAACACACTGGTAAGTTTATAATAACCAAAGTTAAGTAGTTTGTTCATAATTAAGAAATCCGTTTATAAAATTGGAAGGTTCAGACAGTAGATTAGATGCGTCGCGCCGTCCATTAATATTTAGATAACATTTAATTGACTTGATATGAAATCTGATTATAAATTATTACGATGGATAAATGTTTGTGATAAGATTAGTTTATGATGTCTTCTTTATAGATAGGTATTTTACAATTACATTGACTGATTAATCACTCATCAAAATGCATCACAGGCTACATGTATATTATCAGATTTTTTTGTTATTCATGTCCATGAAGCCTGTGCAATTTTCGTGCCAAATTCAACCTTAGATACTACGTCCGTAGTATGCAATGCCTTACATATATATATTACTACAATAGCTACATGAGTAACATGACATCACCCAGGTGAAATTTCGTCAAATATCGCACATGTTAACCACATCCATGTCTTCCCTTATAAGGTAGTGTTACTATGCTTTTTGACTATGAAAACCATATATGGAAATTGATGTATGATCACATGAGACGGAGTGCGCATAGCCATACTATTTCTGGTTGGGCGGACGCCGGACATTTAAAGTTAGATAGGACAGAAATTTCGAGTAGCAATTGGGTTTCATCAAATTATATAATTATGCTGTAAGGCTTCACCTTTATTTCAATGGGGGGTTGGATGGCTGAATGGTTAGCATGTGCGCACTGTATCATAAGGTCTGTCATTGAGTCAACTGGCATGGTTTGATTCCCCGGTTGTACGTGACAAGGAGTAGGGTCGCCTGTCCAACCTCGTGGGTTTTCTCCGCCGGGTCCTCCGGTTTCCTCCCACTGCTAAAGACCCCTATGCGCAAGCGAATTATGGAAATATAATTGAACCGTATGTTAGTCCCGAAATGACCTAGTCTGTTTTCGAGGTGAGGTTACACCCCATCTCTCTCTCTCTCTCCCTCTCTCTCCCTCTCTCTATCTCTTTATTTCAATGGGAATTGGTTTATTATATGTCAAGCTCATGTATTATATTCAGTTTCAGTTTGTAAAAATGAGGGCCCAGTGCTGTATTTGTGCCGATCTGTTTGAAGATAATTCTACAGTCAATATAGCAGCTGCTCCGTGTGGACATACGTTTCATGAAACATGTTTAATGAAATGGCTGGATACATCAGGTAAGCACAATATACAATTACTTACATGTATCTTAAAATGTTGGCTAACCCCAGAAAGTTAGGAGACTATAACTCAGGTATGATGTCGTTTCTGCATTTAAAGGAGCTTAATCGTTAATATTTGGGACCTAGAAATTGACAAAAATTGGTCGCAACACATATAATAATGTAATATAAACTGATTTACATTCAATCATTTCTGTCTCTACTCTAATTTCAATCAGTTATATTCGGCAAAATATGCCAGAAGTGGCAATCTCTAGCGCCTGGTTATTCCAGTCTACAAAAATAGTATTTATTGCTTGCGCATGCTTTCCAGATAAGAATATGGCTTCACTGTTTGACATGACTTGAGTAATATGTCCAGCCTCGTTTTTCGAGTCTGTTGTTACAAATGGCGCTGAAATGCATTATGGTACACAATTCGTGTACAAATGGTAAAATGTCTTAAATATTGAATATCAGAAGCCCATCTTTTCCAGGTAAGATCACAACATCAATGTTGATTTAAATTGACAAATAATTCGTGTTTTCAATGCCAACAGTGGTTTGAAGCTAAACAAGCTAATCCTGTATGCTTGCAAATTAATGTTCTTACACAACTGTCATTGAGTCAACTGGCGTGGTTTCGAATCCCTGGTTGTACGTGACAAGGAGTAAGGTCGCCTGTCCAACCTCGTGGGTTTTCTCCGGGTCCTCCGGTTTCCTCCCACTGCTAAAGACCCCTAAAATTGAACCATATGTTAGTCCCGAAATGACCTAGTTTGTGTTGAGTGGACGTTAAAACCTCATTTCTCTCCCTCTCTCTCTCTCTCCCTCTCCCTCTCATCCTAATGTTAGACTATTTTAAAGATTAACCCATCTTTATGAGCCCAGTTAGAGCATAACAGTAGGACTTAAATCTCATGTCATTTTAATTTTATTCATCAACCTTGGTTTTATTATTTCAGCTACCTGTCCAAGTTGTCGCAAACATTGTAACAGAAAACAAGTTATTGCCAAATTATTTTTTGATGGAGATGAAATTGAGGAAACTCGTGAGGTTGATCCGAGCAAGCTGGTTAATCAAGTCTCTGATTTAAAGGCTACCGTTCGACAGCGAGACAAGGAGAAATCTGAACTTATTGAATCAAAAGTCTCGTTACAAAATCAAGTTCAAGATGTGATGATAGAAAAAGATGTTTTAAAGAAAGAGTTAAAACAAGAAAAAAACACAAACTCTTCTTTAAAAAAACAGATTTCGACATACGAAGGCCAGCAGAAACTTTATAGAACAGAGCAAGATGAATACCGTAAAGCCATTAAAACACTAAAAAATTTACAACATCTTCAAGTTATGTTATCAGGTAAAAAATAAAAAGAATGACACTTTACTATATGGTGGTTTACTGTACAGACTGATAAATATACTGACACTTTACTATAAGGTGGTTTACTGTACAGACTGATAAATATACTGACACTTCACGTAAGGTGGTTTACAGTACAAACTGATAAATAGACTGACACTTTATTATAAGGTGGTTTACTGTACAAACTGATAAATATACTGACACTTTACTATAAGGTGATTTACTGTACAGACTGATAAATAGACTGACACTTTACTATATGGTGGTTTACTGTACAAACTGATAAATATACTGACACTTTACTATAAGGTGGTTTACAGTACAAACTGATAAATATACTGACACTTTACTATAAGGTAATTTACTGTACTGACTAATAAATATTCTGACACTTTACTATAAGGTGATTTACTGTACAGGCTGATAAATATACTGACACTTTACCAAAAGGTGATTTACTGTACAGACTGATAAATATACTAACACTTTACTATAAGGTGGTTTACTGTACCGACTGATAAATATACTGACACTTTACTATAAGGTGGTTTACTGTACCGACTGTTAAATAGACTGACACTTCACATAAGGTGGTTTACTGTACAGACTGATAAATATACTGACACTTTACTATAAGGTGATTTATGAGAATTTACACGATATTTGAGTTTTGAACTTTTCAAAGCCACATTAGTGTTTATTACTGATCAACATTTCGACTAGGCCTTCTTGTATTTATCAAGCAATGATAATAAGCATTTATTGTTTTCCATAGAATTGTGAACTGTATATTCCAGTTCAAGTACTAAATACCATTGAAACAATTGATCATGTACATGTAGATCCCTCAGAAATTTGAAGACGACGTATTACCCTACATTTCTATTTTCATTTGAAACAAATCCAAGTGTATTACGATGTGCGCTGTGGATCATAATCTCTGTCATTGATGCAAGTGTATCACCATGTGCACTGTCAATCATAAGCTCTGTCATTGATACAAGTGTATTACCATGTGCGCTGTCGATCATACATGTAAGCTCTGCCATTGATGCAAGTGTATTACCATGTGCGCGTTGTCGATTATAAGCTCTGCCATTGATGAAAGTGTAGTGGGTTCCTCCCAATACTAAATTATGTCCTGAAATAACCCACTTTCTGTTAAAATGACGGTAAACCCCTGTTTTTGTCTCTTTTGAAACAAATTATTTTATAATTTCAGGTTGTGAAAGTGATGCATTAGAAATATTAAGTCAGAATGGTGAAGGATCATCAAAACAACTGTCCCGTTATTGTGCCATTTTAAAACGGGAATACGAACAATGTAAACAAGATAAAAAGTTATATAAAGATCAAATTGATAAACTTCGTAGAGAATTAGTTACAAAAGACAGAATTCTCAAAGATAAAACGCAGGAGAACTCCACATTAACTGAACAGTTGAATAGATCGGAAGAAGATTTAAAAAATGCGGAAAAGGATAAAGAATTATTACGGCATAAATTGAGACATTTACGAAAAGCGGTTCGTAGTCCAACAGTCGCCACGGCAAGTTCAAGTTTTATCGAAACTTTAACAGAAGAAAGTCCGATGACTAATGCTAATATTACGACTCCTGTCAAAGAGAGCAACAGTAGATTATTTGAAGAGAAAGGTGCATTAACGCCTGATTTGTTTGACACACCAAACACACAAACGAAACATCACTGTTCAGATAATAATATGAAATACGTCCGTATTGTGTCTGCATCAGAAAATCAACCTTCAAAGAGACAGAGAACTGAAAAACAGGAGATAAATGATTTAAAAACATTAGGATCGTTGAATATTTTTAAAAAGAAAAATGGCCCAGGAAGTTTTTCTAGTACTATTCAAAAAGGTTACGATGGATTAGGTGGACATACATCATTCACAAAACCTCTCGGTCCCCTAGGAGTAAAAAATACCCTGGTGAAGAAGAAGAAAACAACGTCAACTGGGGTTAAAATGTTTGCGAAAAACCCACCATTGCCAAGTTTAGATAATTTTATAGAGATTGATTAGTATAGTAAACAAATACCCGGTATCTAATTTATAAACAAATACCCGGTATCTAATTTATAAACAAATACCCGGTATCTAATTTATAAACAAATACCCTAATTTATAAACATATTCTGTGATTGATATAAACAAACTTCTGCACATTGTTATGGATATTGTTGATAACTTATGCACCTGTCACACTCTGATACCATGGATACTACAGTAATGTACCTGTTACATCCTGTTACCATGGTTTCCATGTAATGTACCTGTCACACTGTTACCATGGTTTCCATGGTATTGTGCCCTTCACTCTCTGTTACCAGCCACGTACAAATTTGTTTACTTTAATATTCATTAAAGATACATTATATAAGAGCTAATTCTGACTATTGCAGTCTTCCAGTGTTATACCGGTTGTGCATGTACGTGACACGGAGTAGGGTCGTCTGTCCAACTTCGTGGGTTTTCTCTGGGTCCTCAGGTTTCCTCCCACAGCTAAAGAACCCTACGCTAAAGTGAATTATTGAAATAAAATTAAACCATATGTTAGTCCCGAAATGACCTAGTTTGTGTCAAGTGGGCGTTAAACCCCATTTCTCTCTTTCTCTCTCAAACAGTCATAACTTCACCCAGAAGAAAGTAATTTGAATGAAGTTTTCAATATATTCATTTTTCATTATCTATTTTTGAACTTTTTATAGCGAGAAATTTCCAGCTCCTTATCTGAATCTTACATAATGTATCTTTAAACTATTATAGCAAAAATGGTCAGCTCTTTATCTAAATCTTACATAATGTATCTTTAATAGAATGAGAACCTATTTTGATGTCATCTATGCCTGTGATTGTATCAATCTATTAAAAATCATGAAACAACTGTCCTCATTCATGTGAAATAAAACGAAGTGGGGTTTAACGTCCTACTGTTCTGCTCCAACTGGGATAATGAAGATGGGAATATGCCATACAGTATGCTATCAGAGAAATTTTGCCCGGGCAGCAGCACTATGGCCTACTTTTATATATCGAATTCCAACTACTAAGGGATCTTTTATGTGCACAACAATGTCTTCACAGGACCTCAATTTTTCGTCCCATCTAAACAACTAGACATGTGTCATTGTCAGCCCTCCGTCCTGCACCACTGACAAGGGGGAACCACATCCAACTGCTAAGGGATCTCTTACATACATAGCAATGTATACACAAGATCTCAGTTTTTTGTCCCATCCAAACAACTAGACAGCTTTCATTGTCAGCCCTCCGTTAAGGGCTAACAAGGGGAAACCACGTCCAAAAATCCTGTTGAACTAATTAAACTTATTCTTGATCATTATTTTTATTCTCGACTTCATATCCAGGATTTAGGTGGCATTTTGGTGGGAAAACGTTTAAAAACAAAATTCAGTTGGGGACTGGAGACCAAGTTGTAACGACCTGGGACGTGTACGTAAAACGATAATGGCACTGTTGTCTCTGAATGATGTTCTGGGTCTGTAAGACGATTTTCCATCCGAATATGCTTATATGACGTCACAGGGTATTATTAACTAATACGGTAATTCATTTAATTCTATTAATGCTTTAATTTTGATCATTCTATCTGAATATGCTTATGACGTCACAGGGTATTATTAATTAACGTGTTAATTTTATTAATGCTTTAATCTCGATCATTATACGCTAACCAGTTAATATGAAATGAAATGAAATGGGGTTTAACGTCCTACTCTTCTGCACCTAACCTGGGCTAATTGAAGACGGAACCAGTTAATAACTTAACTACTTTCAATCCTGGCTATAACTATGAGCAGGGAATTTTAATGGCATGACAGCGACGCTCAAATTCCAATACACACTAAAAAAAAAAATAGGTTGACTACACAGGACCTTGTTTTTCCCTTTCCATCCTAACAACTAAACACTGTCCTTGCCAGGCCCCCTGTTCCCACTGATAAGGGGAAACCACACCCATGCCATGCCATGGTTAGAAAAGAACCATTTTGATATCAATTCAGGGTCGTAACTAGTTCAGAGCAACGAGGGAGCGGGAAGTGTTCTCGAGCAGGGGTGCTGTAAAATTGACGGACAATGTATATCTATTGTTTTTATGGTCGACAATTCTTTCACAGAACTTTTTGCCGGGGGAAGGGGGGGGGGGGCTTTGCCAGCCTGTCCCCCTCGCCCCCAGGTTACGGACCTGTATCAATTACCTGTATTTTCAAATACCATACACAGCTTAGTTAACATCAGCATTATTACTATTAGGCCTAACCATATGTTTTATAAAGTTTATTTTTTAAATGTATGGCATATTTGAGAAATTTTGCTGTAGTGAATAATGCCATATTCGTTTGTGTCAGTATCATATTTTTAGTTCTTCTCCCCCTTTCTCTTTTTCCCCCTTTTGCATGACAATCGTTGTTGTTGTTTTTGGTGTAGAATTGAAGAAAAGGGTTTGAATATACATTTTCTGACAGGTTTTGGTGAATATTCATGATTTTGAGGCGGAAGGATACAAGAGTTAAGAGGTTGGTTAGGTTGAAATGTAGGGCGGAAAATTGCATGTTTACTTGTCTCTAGTCTCTACTTCCAGCTTGTGTATCTTAAGTTTTTCTTGACGAACTTCATACGCGCTTTTGTCCAAGCGGTTGCACATGTTGCTCCGTCTGTCGTAGAAATCGTTCTACCCAACGAAAATTTGAGAAAAAGTTAGAGCCGGTCTAAGAGACGAGAATTAACATTAAAGTCAATGGGAAATCATTGGTGATCTGCGGCCAAATGTACGTCAACTTCTCATTGGATGAAACACTTACAGGGTCATTAGGGTCAAGGATGTCCAACCGGAAGTAATACGGTAGAGAGATTTCCGCGAAGGTAATTCACTTTAAATGAAAAGTAAATTCCATGAATTGACGTCTACGATCGGGGAGATCTGTGACCATGTTATTAACCCAAAAGTGGCAAAAGAAAATTAACCACGATTTACGTTCCTTGTATTGTTGATGTAAGGTAAGGTTAAGGTAGACTCTGTAGGTTTCAGTTCTTACACAAAATATGCAAAAATCATGTGGGCCTATTAGTATTTTATGTAAATGATATGAAGTGTCAGTGTGTAGCTTGCCGTTTGAAAATTGACAGCCTATAATTAGCAGCCTATGATCAGCAGTGAATATTCGCGAGGTTGTTACATCACTAAGAAAAAAAGGGATGACATCGGTTAGTTCAAAAATAGGCTTAGTTAGAACAAAGGTTGGGATGGTATTTTCATATTGCAGATAATAAGGACATCGTCAGATCAGAGACCGGTCCTAAATGAACTACTAGACTGCCTTGAGCATGAGTTAATTATATCACGATATGAAACTTTTTTCCTCCTGAAAATAAAATTCTATAAACATTTTTTTGTGAAGAATTAGCAATTAGTAAATGGGTAGCCTACGTACATGTAAAATAATATGCAAAGCGTAAAAGGCACGTACGTAGTCGTAGAATGCGTGTGACCTTATAATGGTCAGTCATCTTACATAGAGTTACTAGAAGGAGGCTTTTGCATTAGTAGTAGGCATTACCTCAGTGAAACAAATTGAACCTGAAATTATAAACATCTGCATACATATATTATATGCAAGTCATTAATAACTTTTATTCATCAATCCAGTCCCCGGTTGTACGTAACAAGGAGTAGGGTTGCCTGTCCAACCTCGTGGGTTTTCTCCGGGTCCTATGGTTTCCTCCCACTGTCAAAGACCCTTACGTGCAAGCGAATTATTGAAATAAAATTGAACCCCATTTCTCTCTCTCTCCATCAATCCAGAAATTTTCTCATCAAATTTACAATCTCCAAGTCACAACGAGTTGGATAATACATGTTGAGTAATATGGGTTCTGAAATGAAATGAAATGAAATGGGGTTTAACGTCCTACTGTTCTGCTCCTATGCTGGGCTAATGAAGACGGGCATACGCCATACAGTGTGCTATGAGAGAAATTTTGCCCGGGCAACGACACTATCGCCTACTCTTTTATCGAATTCTTACTGCCAAGGGATCATTTACGTGCATTCCAATGTATACACGGGACCTCGGTTTTTCGTCTCATCCGAAGGACTAGACATCTGTCCTTGTCAGGCCCTCCGTCCTGCATCACTGACAAGGGGGAAACCACACCGAAAAATCTGGATGAACTTTCTCGGCCAATGCAGGGATCGAACACCCGACCTCCAGACTAGCTAGCCAGCGTCTTACCCACTTAGCTATGTGATCCCCCAAAATATGGGTTCTAGATAAAATGCAGTGAAATTGGAGTTTAACTAGATAAGAAACCTCATCTCGCGACCCTGCATGTCTCGAGGTAAGGAATGGTAATATATCAATATGATTAAAACACAGATCCTATTTCGTTTAGTTTTTTATAGTTCAAAATTTCGTTTTACTTGTCTTTACTACACTAGGATCTGGAAGAGTTGTTATATAACCTGCGTTCTGGATTATGTGAAAAGGTGGGTAAACCATTAGGAACATCAACGCTGATTGATTAATCAATGTCTGACATCATAGGGTCAAAAGACGCTCGTACAACCCCTGACACGACCTTATAGTACAACTTGTAAGATCTTCATGTAGTGTAGGCTAGCGAAAGTATAAAAATAACGAAACAAAATATAGATCTGTATTTTAATCAGATTGGATGGCTGTTTTTTCTGGAAGATGCAGATGTGAATCATTATAGATAGTATTTAAAGGAGCTAAACCACTATTCTTTAGTAACTAGAAATGGACACAAATGGAGTAGTAAACTATAACACATGTTACTAATTTATTTGGGAGACATTTCGAAGAGTATTCTCTCAATATCATCAAATGAGATCGATCTACATCAGTGATTCTACAGTTGTATTTTTCATATATATTTAGCCGGGGCCCTTATTCACGAAAACTTAAACTAAGATACAATTGAAATTTTAAGAAATACTGCAATTCAATTGGCTGACCAGTAAAATCAATTTGCATATATCCAATTTGCATATTGGTCAGCCAATCGAATTGCAGTATTTCTTAAAATTTAGATTGTATCTTAGTTTAAGTTTTCGTGAATAAGGGCCCAGGTGTGTTGGGTTTTTTTTTCATGTGTTACAAGATGTGCCATTGACAAAAAAAAAGGTTGAGACACTGATCTACATTTATATAAATATTTTATTTCAGATAACCAGTAACCACGGAAACGTGAATAACCAATCAAGATGAGAGTACAGTGTTGTATTTGTTCGTATTTATTGGAGAATAAAGATGGCGTTAATATAGCAGCGACACCTTGTGGTCATACATTTCACGAGGCTTGTTTGATGCCCTGGATAGAGAGGTCAGGTATGTTCGTCTGCATGTGATTCACTAACGAGGAGGTCCCTGATTCAATCCCTTGTGATTGCCGAGGAAGTTATTGAACCGATGTCTAACTGGATGGCTGAATAGTTAGCGTGTGCGCGTTGTATCGTAAGGTCTGTCATTGAGTCAACTGGCGTTGTTTTGATTCCCTGGTTGTACGTGACAAGGAGTAGGGTAGCCTGTCCAACCGTGTGGGTTTTCACCGGGTCTTCAGGTTTCCTCCCACTGCTAATTAAAGACCCCTATGTGCAAGTGAATTATTGAAATAAAATTGATCCATGACTGAATGGTTAGCATGTGCGCGTTGTATCGTAAGGTCTGTCAATGAGTCAACTGGCATGGTGTTTTATTGAAATAAAATTGAACCATATGTTAGTCACGAAATGACCTAGTTTGTGTTGAGTGTAAGTTGACCCCATTTCTGTCTCTTTTGCATATGAAGGCCTACGCTGCGCAGATATACCTAGGTCTAGGAAGTACAGACCTCATTTACCACCTTTATATCTGGGTAAGATGCTGACTCGCTAGGCTGGAGGTCAGGTGTTCGATCCCTGCATTTGTCGTGAAAGTTCATCCAGATTTTCCGGCGTGGCTCCTCCCATCGTTCGGATGGGACAAAAAACAGAGGTCCCGTGTACACATTGGCGTGTATCTAAAAGATCCCTAGACAGTTGGTATTCGATATATTATTTCCCACATACATGTAGCATACTGTATGGCGTATGCCCATCTTCATTAGCCCAATTTGGAGCAGAACAGTAGGACGTTAAACCAGGGTTCCCGCGTTCCTTGAAAATCCTTGAATATCCTTAAATTTAAAATTTCATTTTCAAGGTCTTGAATATCCTTGAATTTCGCGGAAATAGGAAAATATCCTTGAATTTCAGTTGAGATCCTTAATTTTGTTTCAAATGTCTTCAATTCCTTTTAAATATGAGATTATAACGATAGTTGGTAATGTTTTGGTTATTTTTAAGATGAAAAAGTGTAACTTTAGGCTAAAAAATGTCCTTGAAAATCCTTGAATTTGACGTATATTTATCCTTGAATATCCTTGAAAAAATGTTTGACGAAGCCGCGGGAACCCTGTAAACCCCATTTCATTTCATTTCATTTTCTTAAATATAATAAAATAATCTGCTTTCTTTTCCTTGCAAGCCTTAAATGTTTTAATATGGTTGATTATTCATATTACAGGAACATGTCCAAGCTGTCGGAAAGTATGTACCAGACCAGATGTCATTCCTAAATTATATTTTGATGATGGTGAAATGGACGCAACCGGAGACGACAACCAAACAAATCAACTTCTTAAAGAAATATCTACTTTAAAAATGAAACTACAGCAGACAAAAATTGTATTAAACAACCAGATATCGGTTGCGAATAAAAAATTTGCTAACCAGGCCAGCATGTTGAAGAAGAAGGTTCAGAATAAAGAAAGCCTTTTAGTGAATAAAATTCAAGAACTGAGAACAAAACTATTAGACATTGAGGAAGAGAAAATTAAACTGACTGGTCTGATCATGGCGAAAGAAGATTTAGAAAAATTGTTAGCCGAGGAAAAAAGTAAAAATTTGATATTGAAAAAGCAAGTATCGACAGTCGCAGAATGTTCTAAAAAGATGATCTGTGATTTGAAGGCTAAAATGCTACCGCGAGAGAAAGCTTTTAATGTCCAGAAAAAAAAATATAATCAAGTATTGAAAGACAAAAACATCCTTTTAGAAACAACAAATTCTCTCCAAAATAGGTTGAAAGACATACGGTATGAAAGAGACGGTTTATATCAACGACTAAAATACGAGAAATATATGACAGCGGAATTAAAAAAACAGATATCCAAGTTGAAGGAGGAGCCGAATAATCTGAGCAGTAAAGTTGCCGCGTATAAAGTACAGTTTAGGAAACGAGAAGTGGCTTTGATTCACAAGATTCGAACAGCAGGTACATGTAGGATTATTTCTCTGTTTATTTTTGTCAATGCCTCCACTATGTCATGACTCTTGTTAGTTAGAACGGTTGTATAGTGTCACGATTCTTGTCAGTCAGAACAGTTGTATAATGTCATGACTCTTGTCAGTCAGAACAGTTGTATAATGTCATGACTCATGTCATTTAGATCGGTTATATAATGTCATGACTCATGTCATTTAGATCGGTTGTAATGTCATGACTTGTCAGTTAGATCAGTTGTATAATGTCATGATTCTTGTCAGTCAGAACACTTGTATAATGTCATGACTCTTGTCAGAACAGTTATATAATGCCACGACTCTTGTTGGTTTGATCAGTTGTATAATGTCATGACTCTTGTCAGTTAAATCGATTATCTTATTGTCATGACTCTTGTCAGTTAGATCGGTTGTATAATGCCATTACATAATTAGTCGTAAGCTGCTGATTTGCGACACTGAAAGTCCGAGATCACAAACTACAGTCGATCTTGTATTGACATCAATTTCTGCATTAAAAAACAAATTGAATATTATAATGTGAATGTTCAGAACAGGATGAATGAATAACACTTTATTTACATGCATTTTTAATTAATTATGTGTGATTTTAAACTTATGGCAACTATGTAACCAAGGTGGACGAAACAAAACCCAAGTTCTTCGTTCCCTTATTTTTTATTTATGTATTTATCTACCGTAAACATAGAAATACTTTATCTACTTTAATTTTACAGTAGATAAGTACAGGCCATTCATCCAGTTATCCCAACTTTTAGTGACTAGTTTCGTTCATATTGAACTCCTCCAACTGATTTAAACTCAAAATGTACGTATATTTTAGATTCTGAGATAGCTAAACTTCGCAGCAGGCGTTTGGAGATCAAGAATGAAGAAGTTGATGAATTAAAGATACAATTATTAAATTCAGAGGAGAAACTAAAGATGAAGTCCGATCAGACAGTGAAACTAATGAGAATAGTGAAACAAGGACAAGAAATATTTGGTCATATACAAACAGAAAATACAGAGACATCAGATAATAGTCGATCTTTCAAAAGAAAGAGAAGGAAGATATGAAATAAAACATGGCTGAGATATGATAATTATATGTAAATTATATGCTCTAGACATACCTTGGTCCATTGGGTTCCAATTTCATGATTTTTTTTTTTTTTTAGATAAGTTTATATCATTTAATTTCCACATACTGTATAACTTACGATTTGTATTTTATTTATTTTACAGTTAATCGATGTTCATCCCAACTGATTGTTTAAGTACAGAATAGTTTTCTATTATAGAACTTTTTAGTCTTCTTTTGTATATCATCATTTAGTGATTAAAATTATTAGAAGTTGACTGAATTGTGTACTGTTAAACTTTCACGTTTTTATTGGAATCGTATTGGCAAACGCCTACTCATTATAATTAACAAATTTAGTTTACTGTGCCAGACAGTATGGATAGTGAGATTGCAGCTATTGTTATGGATGAAAATAAAGAGACATCAGATAATGGTGAAGGACAGAATGGGGCTCAACAGATTATGGATGAAGAACCGCGCTTGTTAAGTCGTGAGACAGTTGACTCACAGCGTAGGATAATCGTTGAGAAGCTGAATACTCTGACACAAGATTTGAAATCTTTAATGTCCAGTGACGTAGAATCTGAACGTGTCAGAGTAGATTATAAGTGTTGGTTGAACTGCTACGAGGAATTTCAACTTGTGCATAGCGACTTTTTCAAACTGTTAAATGAACAGGAACTTCACGAATATTTGGAATCGGAATATAAAATATTCGATGAAAGAGTTTGTAGTTTTCGTCAGCTCGTTGAAGAGTGGTTTCAACAACACAGGGATGTATATGTAACTCCTAACGACAGTGTTTCACGCACTAGCAGAAGATCATCACATCGTTCAAATACAAGTAAGATGTCTAATTTGTCTGCAGTTCGAATAAAACAGGAACAAGAAAACGTTGAATTAATAGAACGGCGGAGACTTTTGGAGAAAAAGCAGAAGTTAGAAATGGAAAAATTGGAGATGAAATTACGGGAAGAACAGGAAAATCACGAAAGGAAATTACGCCAAGAAAAGGAGAATTTGGAAATAAAATTGCGAGAGGAACAAATGGAAATGGATTTCAAGATGGCAGTCGCCGATGCTAAAACCAGAGTTCTAAATCAAGAATACAGAACAGTGAGTGAAGCCAGCTGTTCTACCAATCGATCAAACAGTAACGGAAACCAAAAGGCGTGTCCCGAAAACAGACCAGCCGAAACTGAAGGGTACAATTCAAATTTTGTAGAATCTTCATCAGTTAATCGTGAACATATGAACCCTTCGAATGACATTTATTGTAATCGTGTGTATTTACATGTACCCCATTTGCCGATAGTAAAGTATATGTGCCTCCACAAAATCAAAAGGATGAATTAAACAATCCCAATTCCAGTGCATCGCATCAATTCGAAGAACTTGTACATTCTATGAAGAGGCCAACAATGGAGATAAAGAAATTTGGAGGTAACCCTATTGAATTCCATTAATTTTTGAGACAATTTAATTCTTCTGTAATAAGTCATACTAGTAATTTTGATGATATATTGAACTATCTAGAACATTATACGTATGGCCCTCCAAATAAAATAGTTTCTGGTTATAGCTTTTTGTTGCCGGAAGCTGGCTATAAGTCCGCTATGAAAGAACTTTCTGAAAGATATGGGCAGTCCGAAACTATTGCGTCAGCCTTTATAAAGAAGGCACTTGAATGGCCTCCCATTAAAGCGGACTCTCCTAAATCCTTGGATGATTTTAGTATTTTCTTGTCGGAATGTAACCATGCTGTTGATAACATTGATTCACTTAGGACATTAGACTATCCAGAGAATATAAAGAGTCTAATCAAAAAAACTGCCATTTTATATGCATGATCGGTGGCGTAGTATTGTTACAGATATAAAGGATCGCGGTGATCCAGTATCCTTCAAACATTTAGTGAATTTCGTAAAGAAGGAGTCTCGTAAGCTAACAGATCCGATCTATGGCAAGGAAGCTATGTCCAGTCAATCAATTCATAGCAATGGAGTAACGAAACAGTTTCCAAAGAAAGCATTTTCAACTGATCTTAAGGCTGCAAGTAAAACCACAAAGTGTCTTTGCTGTGATGGACCTCATTGTAAAAAATTCTCCAATATGAAACCTGAGGAGATGTCAACGTTTGTGCGAAAGGAAAGATTGTGTTTCGGATGCCTAAGGCATGGCCATCAAAGAGTAAGGTGTTGGAAGAAACTGATCTGTACTCATTGCAATGGGAAACACCCAACCGTTCTCCATGACAAGTTTTCCTACACAGAGGAATGTCCAAGTAAAATTCCAGTTTTAGATGATGAACCGCCAAACTCAGAAACTAAGGTCAAGTCTTGTGGTGTAATGGAGGCCGGAGAACACCAAATATGCACTATGCCTATTACTCCAATTCAAATAGGTGTGGGTTTGAAGATGATAAAGACATACGCTTTTCACGATCCAGGGAGTAGTGTATGTTTTATTACTAATAATTTGTTACACCAATTAGGTCTTGAAGGAAAGGTAACAAAAATTACCATTGACACAATGGGAAGCAGTAAATCTGTTACATCCAAAATGGTACATGGTTTACAGGCCTACAGCATCAACCTCGATGATTCAATTAAGCTTCCTGTGTGTTATTCAACTGATAAGATCCCAGTCGGTAAAGGTCATATTCCCACGACAGATGACGTTTGTATGTACTCTCACCTAAGCGACATCGACATTCCAGAACTGGATTGTGAGGTTGGATTGCTTATAGGAAATAACGTCCCCGAAGCCTTTGCTCCGAAAGTTATTAGAACCGGTCCTCGGGGAACACCCCATGCATCTAAAACAGCTCTTGGGTGGATATTGTGGAATGTTACGAGAGAGACTAACTGCATAGTCAATAGTAGAATCGCTGTCAATCAGGTATTGGTAAACTCAATAATGGAAATGGCGAAGTTAAATGAACTAGAGAAGATTATTAAAAGGACAATCAATGTTGACTTTCCTGAAGGTGCTATTGATGACCGTAAAGAAAATTCTGTCTTGGACGAAACTTTCCTTAAGAAGGCGAAAAATTCTACGAAATTGCTGGAATGTGGTCATTACGAGATCGGACTTCCTTTTACGTCAGATAACCTAATAATGCCAAGGAACTTAAATATGGCGCGCAGTAGATTAAATAGTCTTCGGAGAAAAATGGATCGTGATGCAAGGTTTCATGGCGATTATGTCAAGTTTATGAATACTATTTTATCAAACCATTATGCAGAAGAAGTTCCAGTAGATGAAATAAATACCAATTTGAATAAGCTGTGGTTCATACCCCATCATGGTGTATACCACAAGCAAAAAGACAAGCTGCGAGTAGTGTTCGACTGTTCAGCCAAAAGTGAAGGTGTATGTCTAAATGATAATCTGTTGTCAGGACCAGATCTTACCAATAGTCTACTTGGGGTTTTGATGCGCTTTCGTTTGGGTAAAATTGGCGTTATGGCTGATATAGAAGGTATGTTTCACCAAGTAAAGGTACCTGTGGAAGATAGGAATGTGTTACGATTTCTATGGTGGCCCGATGGAAACACGTCTGTAGAACCCAAACAGTATCGCATGACATCTCATTTATTTGGAGCCGTATCGTCACCAAGTTGCGCGAACTTTGCGTTACAGAAAACTGCATTAGACAATAAACATTTATTTGACGATGAAGTGGTAAGAACTGTTTTAGAAAACTTTTACGTGGACGACTGTCTTAAATCTTTGGATGGTGAAGTCGAGATGTCTGAACTTATTTGTAATGTTGTAAAACTGTGCAAGTTAGGTGGTTTTCGTTTACATAAGTTTATTACAAATAGTAAGGCAATACTGGACACTATTCCTGTTACAGAACGTGCTGTTTGCTCTAGTCCCTTGCTTGGCGACGATGAATTCACTTTGGAGAGAGCATTAGGTGTACATTGGGATGTGTTTTTGGACTCACTCACATTTAAGATAAATATCAAGGCAAAACCAGTAACGCGTAGAGGATTATTATCAATTATAAGCTCGGTGTTCGATCCACTAGGTTTGGTTGCGCAAACCTAGTGGATCGAACACCGAGCTTATAATTGATAATAATCCTCTACGCGTTACTGGTTTTGCCTTGATATTTATCTTAAATGTGAGTGAGTTATTTTTGTTGCGTATTCTGTATATATTTGTCTACTATTCACATATTTGTATCATTTGCTTGATAAAGATGAAAGTATCCCCATCGAAACGTTGTTTAGTATTTCAATACTATTAATTGTATTTGATTGTTATTTTTGTTGCGTATTCTGTATATATTTGTCTACTATTCACATATCTGTATCATTTGCTTGATAAAGACGAGATTATCCTCTTCGAAACATCGCTTAGTATTAAACTCAGTAATTGTGTATCCATAAAATTGTAACTTGTGTTAATATGTTTAATTATTAAATGCCAATCAAAGAAGTTAAAAAATTATCCATAAAATGGATAATCAAGACTTAGTCTTCACTTTCAGTATCTTGACTAGAATAATGCTTTACACTACATCTTCAAACAGTCATGGGGTGGGGGGGTTGGATGGCTGAATGGTTAGCATGCGCGCGCTGTATCATAAAGTCTGTCATTGAGTCAACTGGAGTGGTTTCGAATCTCCGGTTGTACGTGTCAAGGAGTAGGGTCGCCCGTCCAACCTCCTGGGTTCCTCCCACTGCTAAAGACCCCTACGCACAAGCGAATTATTGAAATAAAATTAAACCATATGTTAGTCCCGAAATGACCTAGTTTGTGTCGAGTGGACGTTAAACCCCATTTCTCTCTCTCTCAAACAGTCATAACTTCACCCAGAAGAAAGTAATTTGAATTCAGTTTTCAATATATTCATTTTTCATTATCTATTTTTGAACTTTTTATAGCGAGAAATTTCCAGCTCCTTATCTGAATCTTACATATATAATGTATCTTTAAACAATTATAGCAAAAATGGTCAGCTCTTTATCTAAATCTTATATAATGTATCATTAATAGAATCAGGCCCCGAGATCACAACAATTTTCAGACTTAAGTTAAGAATTTACTCAAAATTGTTCGCCTCATTTTGACTAAAATATAGCCCTGTATAAAACTTTCCTTGTTTTAATGTATCAAATACATTAATAAGAAACTATTTGCAAAGTTTTGTGTTTCTGGATCAAAGATATTTCTCATAAACAGTGATTGAAAGTTGAGTAAATTCTTAATTTAGGTCTGAGAATGCTTTGTGAATTCAGGGTCAGAACTTATTTTGATGTCATCTATGCCTGTGATTGTATCAATCTACATGTATTAAAAATCATTAAACAACTGTCCTCATTCATGTTAATAACATTGAAATAAAACGAAGTGAGGTTTAACGTCCTACTGTTCTGCTCCGGCTGGGCTAATGAAGATGGGAATATGCCATGCAATGTGCTATCAGAGATCAAAGAAATTTTGCCCGGGCAGCAGCACTATGGCCTACTTTTAGATCGAATTCCAATTTCTAAGGGATCTTTTACATGCATGTCTATTTATACACAGGACCTCAGTTTTTCGTCCCATCCGAACAAGTAAACAGGAGTCACTGTCAGCCCTCCGTCAAGGGCTGACAAGGGGAAACCACGTCCAAAAATCCTGTTGAACTAATTAAACTTATTCTTGATCATTATTTTTATTCTCGATTTCATATCCAGAATATAGGTGGTATTTTGGTGGGAAAATGTTTAAAAACAAATTGAATTTGGAGCCTTTAACCTTGACCCTTGAATCCAAGTCGGAGACTGGAGACCAAGTTATTTCGACCCGGGACGTGTAACTAAAGTGACGATGGCACTGTTGTCTCTAAATAATGTTTTGGGTCTGTATAATGATTTTCTATCCGAATATGCTTATATGACGTCACAGGTTATTATTAATTAACGCGTTAATTCAGTTACGGTAATTCTATTAACGCTTTAACCCAGCCCTGGCTATAACTACGAGCAGGGGAATTTTAATGGCATGACAGCGACGCTATATAGCCTACTCTTATATCAAATTCCAATACACACTGTCCTTGCCAGGCCCCCTGTCCTCACTGGTGGGGAAACCACACCCATGGTTAGAAAAGAACCATTTTGATATCAATTCAGGGCCGTAACTAGCTCATAGCAACGTCGGAGCAGGAAGTGTTCTCAGGGGTGTTTTTATGGTCGACAATTTTTTCACAGAACTTTTTGCGTGGTGGGGAGGGGCTTTGCTAGCTATGGGCCTGTATCAATTAGCAGTAGGTTTGAATATACATTTTCTGCCAGGTTTTATTGAATATTCATGATTTTGAGGCGGAAGGATACAAGAGTTAAGAGCTTGGTTAGGTTGAAATGTAGGGTGGAAAATTGCCTTTGTTGCTCTCTACTTCCAGTTTGTGTATCTCAAGTTTTCCCTGATGAACCTCATAAGCGCTTTTGGGCAGAGGTTGCCACATGTTGCTCCATCTGTGGTAGAAAGCGTTCTACCCAACGAAAATATGGGAAAAGGTTAGAGCCGGTCTAAGAGACAAGAATTAACATTAAAGTCAATGGGGAAATCATTAGTGATCTGTAGCCATTTAATGTACCTCAACTTTACATTGGATGAAACGCTTGCAGGGTCATTGGGGTCAAGGATGTCCAACCGGAAGTAATACGGTAGATAGAGATTAGCACATTAAGATAATTCACTTGTTACGAAAGGTAAATATTATGATGAATTGACGTCTACGATTGGGGAAATCTGTGGCCGTATTAAACCAAAAGAAATTTAATTAGGGTTTACGTTCCTTGTATTGTTGGTGTAGGGTTAGGTAGACTCTGTAGGTTTCAGTTCTTACACAAAATATATGTAGAAGTAGAAATCAGAAATGTAGGCCTAGATACTAAGATAGTATTCTATTCATCATAGTATAAATCAAATGTGTAGCTTGCCGTTTGAAAATTGACAGCCTATAATTACATGTAGCAGCCTATGATCAGGGCTGGGGTAATGGTAATGGAATGTAATCATTACATGGCCATGTAATGAGTAATGGAAGATTTTAAAAGTAATGGAAATGTAATTAATTACATTCCAAAAATCATGTAATGGTCAATTACTTTTCAATTACATTTTATGGCACAAATAGATATTTCCAATATAACTGGCCTCAAATTGTAAAGCATCAAAGAAGTAAATTAAGTGTAACTGACACCAATCCAATTCATTATAACTTTTTAAAAAGATTTAGATCAGTTTTAACAAATTATAATAAGAAAGCATTAACATTTTTTTTATAATTTGTTTATGTACATGTAAGATTCTTTTTTAGACATGTAACCTAAAAAGTGGATTTCTGAATAGATGTATATTGTAATCAAAACTTAGTGCTAATTTGCAGGCAATCATATAGTCAATCAATCAATCAGTTAGATTTAAAGACAATAGTCTTACTACACTTTAATCTTAATCTCAAGGTAACAAGTGACAAACCAAACAATGGCCTTCAAGTATCTCATCATTTTATGGTTAGGCTTCATACTTAATATAAAACAAATATATATTTTGTTTTAGAGTCATGGTGAATAATTTACCAGTTATTATACAATATATTATAGAAAAACTATTTGGATTTATTAAAAAAATTTATAAAGTCACTTTTAAAAAAATAAAGTTAATTATAACATATAGAAATAACAATTCATACACAATATCTATTAGTGTGAATCAAGAATTATTATCGAGTTTGATTTGGAGGCGCTTCATTGCAGAAAAATAAGGTTGTCTTTATAATTTCTATGAAAAATGTTTTTTTTTTTTTATTTATATACTCATAATGAAATGGGTAAATAGAGAATCTCCTACCCGTCTTTTTTGATATCAAAAAATATCAACACAAGTTGATAAAGTAACAAAAAATTTTGATATCAAAAAAGACGAGTAGGAGATTTTATTTATCACCCAATCCCTTCTTACATGCACAAATAGATAAATATAATTCTTTGCTGTAGATTTCACTTTTACTGAACATTAGGGTGTAGTGATACATCATTTTTTGACAGCAATTCAACTATTGCAAAGTCCTTTATATTGACCCAGTGCTTCCATCAAGGTCAATTGAATAACAATAGTTCATTTTAAATTTAAAAAAGTTACTTTTAATAAGAAATGAACTGTTCTTTGAAAATATAAAAAGTAGTTCCTTTTCAACTGACCAGTAGATTATGAAATATATTACACAAGCGATATCTACTGTAGAATGTATTATTGGGTGATAATGGTAATTAATTACTTTCAATGTTATGGGTAATGGTAATTAATTACATTGCTAAAAATGAGAAAATAATTGTAATGATTACATTTAAAAAGTAATGGTAATGTAATTAATTACATTGGCAATGTAATGGCCCCAGCCCTGCCCATGATCAGCAGTGAATAATCGCGAGGCTGTTATATCACCAACGAAAAAAAGGGATGACATTAGTTAGTTCAAAAATAGCCTTAGAACAGGGGTTGGGCGTGTGGTGTTTTCATATTGCAGCTACATGTATAACTTATTATAAGGACGTGGTCAGATCAGAGGCCGTTCCTGAATCCTAAATGAACTACTAAACATTGCCATGCCATGAGTTAATTATCTCACAATATGAACCTTTTTTTTCCTCATGCAAATAAAATTCGAGAACATTTTTTTGAAGAATTAGCAAAATAGTTAAATTTAAAGTAGCTAAGTCTCTAACTCAATATCATCAAAAATCTTCGACATTGAAAACACAAATTATTTGTCACTTCAAATCAACATTGGTCTTGTAATCTTACAAGGGAAAGATGAGCTTCTGATATGCAATAGTTAAGACAAAATATACATTTTACCATTGGCGTTTCAGCGCCATTTGGAACAAGGGACTCAGGGCTAGACATATTCCACAAGTCATGTCAAATGGTGACGCTATATTCTTATCTGGAGAGCATGCGCAATAAATACCATTGGTGTAGACTGGAAAAACCAGAAGCTAAAGATTGCCATTCACATGAGACTTCTGGCGATTGAATGTAAATCAGTTTATATACATTCATATTTCATTATTATATGCGTTGCGACCTATTTTTTTTTCAATTTCTAGGTCCCAAATATTAGCGATTTAGCTCCTTTAAGGTGTTGGAATTATTTTGGATAAAAGATAATGTATTTCCTATTTTAGTATAAATGGGTAGCCTAAATAAAATAGTATGCAAAAGCTTAAAATGAGTAAAAGGCACGTACATAGTCGTAGAATGCGTGTGAACTTATAATGGTCGGTCATGTTACACAGAGTAACTAGAAGGTGAGGGAGTTGGATGGCCGAATGGTTAGCGCATGCGCATTGTATCTTAAAGGCTGTTATGGAGACAATTGGCATGGTTTCGATTTCCCGGTTGTACGTGACAAGGAGTAGGGTCGCCTGTCCCACCTCGTGGGTTTTCTCCCGGACCTCCGGTTTCCTCCCGCTGCTAAAGACCCCTACGTGCAAGCGAATTATTGAAATAAAATTGAACCATGTGTTAGTCCCGAAATGACCTAGTTTGTTTCGAGTTGATGTTAACCCCCATTTGTCTCTCTCTCTACTAGCTCACTGTGACCCAGGTATCATTTAATCTTGTGTATCTAGCACTAATTTCTTTCACATTCATTTAATATCCAATCTTTGTTTAAAAATTTGTAAAAACTGTTTAAAATCACCATAAATCGTTTAATTTGTACTTCTGTCCAGTTTCAATCTGACCATTCAATTTTGATAATGAGTGTCCAGTTTACAAGTGTTTATTTTTTCAATCACTGTTAAAAAATAAACAACCCAATTAATTAATGATGTATAATGATTAATTTTTGAACAGTGGTCAGGAAATTAAATACTTGTAAATTGGACAATCGTTATCAAAATTAATCAGTCAGCTTTAAACTGGACACAAGTACAAATTAGATGATTTTTGGTGATTTTAAATGATTTTTACGAATTTTTAAACAAAGATTTGATATTAAACGAATGTGAAAGAAATTAGTGCTAGATACATAAGATTAAATGATACCTGGGTTATAGTCTCGAGGCATTTGCATTAGTAGTAGTCATTAACTGTGTGAAATAAATCAACCTGAACGTATAAACATCTACATACATGTACTGTATATACAATCATGAATAACTTTGATTCATCAATCCAGAAAGTTTCTCATCAAATTTAACAATCTCCAGGTGTCAACGAGTTGGGTAGTACATGTTTAGTAATGGATAACATGGATTCCAAATAAAATACAATGAAATAGAGGTTTAACCAGATAAGAAACCTCATCTCGCGACCCTGCATGTCTCAAGATAATATATAGTATAGGCCTTGTTCTTTCTGGGGGATCATGGTGACTAAGTGGGTAAGACGCTGGCTCGCTAGCCTGGAGGTCGGGTGTTCGATCCCTGCCTTGGCCCGAGAAAGTTTATCCAGATTTTCCGGCAAGGTTCCCCCTTGTCAGTGATGCAGGACGGAGAGCCTGACAAGGACAGCTGTCTAGTCATTTAGATGAGACGAAAAACCGAGGTCCCGTGAACACATTGGCATGCACGTAAAAGATCCCTTGACAGTTGGAATTCGATATAAGAGTAGGCCGTAGTGCCGCTGTCCGGGCAAAATTTCCCTCATAGCACACTGTATGGCGTATGCCCGTCTTCATTAGCCCAGTATAGGAGCAGAACAGTAGGACGTTAAACCCCATTTCATTTCATTTTTAGGAGCTAAACCACTATTCTTTAGCAACTAGAAATGGACACAATGGCGCAGTAAACTATAACACATATTACTAATTTATTTGGGCGACGTTCCGAAGAGTATTCTCCCAATATCATCAAATGAGATCCATCTACATCAGTGGTTCTACAGTTGTATTTTTCTAGCCAGGTGTGTCGTTTTTATACGCCCACATTTTCATGTGGAAGTATATTGTCGTCGCCCCTGTCCGTCCGTCCACAATTGTTTGTGAACAGTCTACAGGTCACAATTTTTATCCGATTTCAATGAAACTTGAAATATAGGTTTATCACCCTAAGATCTCGGTTCCTTTCGATATTGGCATGGCCCCTGATTGTACGAAAAATCATGTTTTTAGCTTGTGAACACTGTAGAGGTCACAATTTTTATCGGATTTGGTTTAAACTTGAAATGTATACTTATAACCCAAAGATCTTGGTTCCTTTCGATATTTGCGCATATCGAATTCTAATTTCCTGAATTATGACCCTTGATTGTAGGAAAAATCACTTTCGAAAATGTGGGCGTATCCTGCCTGGTAGCCGCTGTTTTTTTTCATGTGTTACAAGAGGTGCTGTTGACAAAAAAAAAAAAGGTTGAGAACTACCATTCTACATTTATATAAATATTTTATTTCAGATAACCAGTAACCACGGAAACGTGAATAACCAATCATGATGAGAGTACAGTGTTGTATTTGTTCGTATTTATTGGAGAATAAAGATAGCGTTAATATAGCAGCGACACCTTGTGGTCATACATTTCACGAGGCTTGTTTGATGCCCTGGATAGAGAGATCAGGTATGTTTGTCTGCATGTGATTCACTAACGAGGAGGTCCCGGATTCAATCCCTTGTGATTGCCGAGGAAGTTATTGAACCAATGGGGGGGGGGGGGGTTGGGTGGCTGAATGGTTAGCGTGCGCGTGCTGTATCATAAAGTCTGTCATTGAGTCGACTGGCATGGTTTCGAATCCTCGGTTGTACGTGACAAGGAGTAGGGTCGCCTGTCCAACCTCGTGGGTTTTCTCTGGGTCCTCCGGTTTCCTCCAACTGCTAAAGACCCCTACGCGCAAGCGAATTATTGAAATAAAATTGAACAATGTGTTAGTCCCGAAATGACCTACTCTCTCTCTCTCTCTCTCTCTCACTCTCTATTGAACCAATGTCTAACTGGATGGCTGAATAGTTAGCGTGTGCGCGTTGTATCATAAGGTCTGTCATTGAGTCAACTGGCGTTGTTTCGATTCCCTGGTTGTAAGTGACAAGGAGTAGGGTAGCGTTTCCAACCTTGTGGGTTTTCTCCGGGTCTTCCGGTTTCTTCCCAGTGCTAATTAAAGACCCCTATGTGCAAGCGAATTATTGAAATTGATCCATGACTGAATGGTTAGCATGTGCGCGTTGTATCGTAAGGTCTGTCAATGAGTCAACTGGCATGGTGTTTCATTGAAATAAAATTGAACCATATGTTAGTCCCGAAATGACCTAGTTTGTGTTGAGTATAAGTTGACCCCATTTTTGTCTCTTTCGCATACAAAGGCCTATGCTGCGCAGGTATACCTAGGCCTAAGAAGTACAGACCTCATTTACCACCTTAATATCTGGGTAAGACAATGGTTCGTTAGCCTGGAGGTCGGGTGTTCGAGAAAGTTCATCCAGATACCGGAGGGCCTGACAACGACAGCTGTCTAATCATTCGGATGGGACAAAAAACTGAGGTCCTGTGTACATGTTGGCGTGCGCCTAAAAGATCCCTTGATATGATTTAGCACACTGTATGCCTATCTTCATTAGCCCAATTTGGAGCAGAACAGTAGGACTTTCAACCTCATTTTATTTTCTTAAACAAATATAATAAAATAAATCTGCTTTCTTTTCCTTGCAACGGGAGGTTGGATGGCCGAATGGTTAGCACGCACACGCTGTATCATACGGTCGGTCATTGAGTCAACTGGCGGGGTTTCGATTCCCCGGTTGTACGTGGCAAGGAGTAGGGTCGCCTGTTCGACCTCGTGGGTTTTCTCCGGGTCCTCCGGTTTCCTCCCACTGCTAAAGACCCCTACGCGCAAGCGAATTATTGAAATAAAATTGAACCGTGTGTTAGTCCCGAAATGACCTAGTTTGTGTCGGGTGGACTTAAACCCCATTTCTCTCTCTCTCTCTCTCTCTCTCTCTCTCTCTTTTCCTTGTGAGCCTTAAATGTTTTAATATGGTTGATGGTTGATTATTCATATTACAGGAACATGTCCAAGCTGTCGGAAAGTATGTACCAGACCAGATGTCATTCCTAAATTATATTTTGATGATGGTGAAATGGATGCAACCGGAGAAGACAACCAAACAAATCAACTTCTTAAAGAAATATCTACTTTAAAAATGAAACTACAGCAGACAAAAATTGTATTAAACAACCAGATATCGGTTGTGAATAAAAAACTTGCTAACCAGACCAGCATGTTGAAGAAGAAGGTTCAGAATAGAGAAAGCCTTTTAGTGAATAAAATTCAAGAACTGAGAACAAAAATATCAGACATTGAGGAAGAGAAAATTAAACTGAATTATTGTAAAACAGGTCTGATCATGGAGAAAGATGATTTAGAAAAATTTTTAGCCGAGGAAAAAAGTAAAAATTTGATATTGAAAAAACAAGTATCAACAGTCGCAGAATGTTCTAAAAAGATGATCTGTGATTTGAAGGCTAAAATGCTACCGCAAAAGAAAGCTTTTAATGTCCAGAAAAATAAATATAATCAAGTATTGAAAGACAAAAACATCCTTTTAGAAACAACAAATTCTCTCCAAAATAGGTTGAAAGACATACGGTATGAAAGAGACAGTTTAGATCAACAACTAAAATACGAGAAAAATATGACAGCGGAATTAAAAAAACAGATATTCAAGTTGAAGGAGGAGCCGAATAATCTGAGCAGTAAAGTTGTGGCGTATAAAGTACAGTTTAGGAAACGAGAAGTGGCTTTGATTCACAAGATTCGAACAGCAGGTACATGTAGGATTATTTCTGTGTTTATTTTTTGTCAATGCCTCCACTATGTCATGACTCTTGTTAGTTAGAACGGTTGTATAGTGTCACGATTCTTGTCAGTCAGAACAGTTGTATAATGTCATGACTCTTGTCAGTCAGAACAGTTGTATAATGTCATGACTCATGTCATTTAGATCGGTTGTAATGTCATGACTTGTCAGTTAGGTCGGTTGTATAATGTCATGATTCTTGTCAGTCAGAACAGTTGTATAATGCCACGACTCTTGTTGGTTTGATCAGTTGTATAATGTCATGACTCTTGTCAGTTAAATCGATTATCTTATTGTCATGACTCTTGTCAGTTAGATCAGTTGTATAATGCCATTACATAATTAGTCGTAAGCTGCTGATTTGCGACACTGAAAGTCTGAGATCACAAACTACAGTCGGTCTTGTATTGACGTCAATTTCTGCATTAAAAAAACAAATTGAATATTATAATGTGAATGTTCAGAACAGGATGAATGAATAACACTTTATTTACATGCATTTTTAATTAATTATGCGTGATTTTAAACTTATGGCAACTATGTAACCAAGGTGGACGAAACAAAACCCAAGTTCTTCGTTCCCTTATTTTTTATTTATGTATTTATCTACCGTAAACATAGAAATACTTTATCTACTTTAATTTTACAGGCGATTTGTCCAGTTATCACAATTTTTAGTGACTAGTTTCGTTCATATTGAACTCCTCCAACTGATTAAACTCAAAATGTACGTATATTTTAGATTCTGAGATAGCTAAACTTCGCAGGCGTTTGGAGATCAAGAATGAAGAAGTTGATGAATTAAAGATACAATTATTAAATTCAGAGGAGAAACTAAAGATGAAGTCCGATCAGACAGTGAAACTAATGAGAATAGTGAAACAAGGACAAGAAATATTTGGTCATCTACAAACAGAAAATACAGAGACATCAGATAATAGTCGATCTTTCAAAAGAAAGAGAAGGGAGATATGAAATAAAACATAGCTGAGATATGATAAATATATGTAAATTATATGCTCTAGACATACCTTGGTCCATTAGAACACTGATCTAGTCAAACACTGGTCCATTAGAACACTGCTCTAGTCAAAGCCAGTGACATTAGAACACTGCTCTAGATAAACCTGGATGGTTAGAACACTGCTCTAGACATACCCTGGACCTTTAGAACGCTGCTCTAGACATACCCTGGTCCATTAGAATACTGATCTAGTCAAACCCTGGTATGGTTAGAAACCAAACTACGTGTAGGATAAAGTCCTCGACTTCGGTTATGCTGGGGAAGAAAGACTTCAGAATTAACCCTCGACCGAAAAACCTCGGCCTGCCGGCCTCGGTTTTTCTTTCTCTCGGGTTATTTTCTTCAGTCTTTCTTCCCCAGTATAACCGAAGTCGAGGACTTTATCATGCTTATAAATATCCCAGAATTCCCACAAGAAAAACCTTATATCATGTTTTCTTATGGGAAAAAAAACCTACCCTGGAAGAATAACCCGTATACAGGTTTAATGAAAAACTTTCAGAAGAATAACCCCAAATTTCCCTGTATATATCCAAAACCTCCCCCGATTTTTAGACCGCATGTTATTCCGGGCATAGAATATACCCCAAAGATCAAAGAGATTTACCGTTACAGGTTTATAATAGACTATAATCTTTTATACCAAACATATTGCACATGCATGTGTTGTCCTCTGATGACATATTGCACATACATATGTTGTTCTCTGATGACATATTGCACATGCATGTGTTGTCCTCTGGTGACATATTGCACATGCATGTGTTGTCCTCTGATGACATATTGCACATACATATGTTGTTCTCTGATGACATATTGCACATGTATGTGTTGTCCTTTGATGACATATTGCACATACATATGTTGTTCTCTGATGCACATGTGTTTTTCACTGATGACATATTGCACATACATGGGTTTTTCTCTGATGAAATCTTGCACATGCATGTGTTGTTGTCTTATGACAAAGTTAAAGTGACCCCCAGGTGCTAGCCATGACTTGTTGGTACAAATTGTGATCTGACACATCTACATGTATATACCAGTACACATTCCAGATAAACTGTTCTCATGTACATGGGATTTATGGGAAAACCTTTATGCCAGATAAACTGTTTGTGATTGTGGGAATTCCTTTACCCCAGATAAACTGTTTGTGTCTGTGGGAATTCCTTTACCCCAGATAAACTGTTTGTGGGAATTCCTTTACCCCAGACAAACTGTTTGTGATTGTGGGAAATCCTTTACCCCAGATAAACTGTTTGTGATTGTGGGAAATCCTTTACCCCAGATAAACTGTTTGTGATTGTGGGAATTCCTTTACCCCAGACAAACTGTTTGTGATTGTGGGAAATCCTTTACCCCAGATAAACTGTTTGTGATTGTGGGAATTCCTTTACCTCAGATAAACTGTTTGTGATTGTGGGAAATCCTTTACCCCAGATAAACTGTTTGTGATTGTGGGAATTCCTTTACCCCAGATAAACTGTTTGTGATTGTGGGAAATCCTTTACCACAGATAAACTGTTTGTGATTGTGGGAATTCCTTTACCCCAGACAAACTGTTTGTGATTGTGGGAAATCCTTTACCCCAGATAAACTGTTTTTGATTGTGGGAAATCTTTTACCCCAGATAAACTGTTTGGGATTGTGGGAATTCCTTTACGCCAGATAAACTATTTGGGTTTGTGGGAAATCTGTACCCAAGATAAACTGTTTTATGATGTACATATGTTGGTGGGGAAACCCCCTACTAGTGGGGGGAAAACCCCCTATGATGTAATACTAATGATACAATGGTGCAATAATGACAAATATAAGATTGTAGATATAAAATAATAGATCATGTGTAAAAGACAACTATTATAATTTACATATCATGTAAAAGACAACTATTATAATTTACATATCATGTATGTAAAAAACAACTATTATAATTTACTATCATGTAAAAGACAACTATTATAATTTACATATCAAATGTATTTTGTATTCAGACATTATATTGTCATCTTAATGTAAATAAACAAATTATATTTTAGTTTTGATATTCCTAAAGATCAAGTCATGTAATTTGTGATGGGATTTTAATATACTGATCTGGATTTTTGTGATTGAAGCCTCACGATCTGTAACTATATATGTGATTGAAGCCTCACGATCTGTTATTATATTTGATTGAAGCCTCATGGTCTGTTACTTTATATGTGATTGAAGCCTCACGATCTGTGACTACATATGTGATTGACGCCTCTGTGACTACCATATATATGTGATTGACGCCTCTGTGACTACCGTATATATGTGATTGACACCTCTGTGACTATCGTATATATGTGATTGACTATCGTATATATGTGATTGATGCCTCTGTGACTACCGTATATATGTGATTGAAGCCTCACGATCTGTGACTATATGTGATTGAAGCCTCAGGGTCTGTGACTGTATATGTGATTGAAGCCTCACGATCTGTGACTATATGTGATTGAAGCCTCAGGGTCTGTGACTGTATATGTGATTGAAGCCTCATGATCTGTGACTATATGTGATTGTCAACTATGTTTTTGGGTGCTGAATAGTGATATATATATTTTTAATATAACCAGATAATTATACAGCTGTAATAAAATATTTTACTTACTTCTTGTTTTATTTGTGCTCGAAATTCCGGGGAGGAGGTGGCAGAATGATTTATTAAGTGTGCACATTAGATCTGTCATATAATCGAGGTGTGGTTTTATTCCCTGTTTGTAGGTGACAAGGAGTGGAGTTACCTGTTGATTTCTTTGGGCAGTGTGAAATTCCAAATGTCACGGGGTCTTTGACATGCATTCCAACATGTACACTAGTCCCAGTAAGTGGTTCCCCCCTTGTTAGTGGTGTAGGACAGAGTGCCTGGCAAGGGACAACATAGTATTTCGGATGGTACTGAAAACTGAGATCCAGCATGCATGTTAAAATAACCTTGACAGTTGGAATTTAATACAAGAGTAGGCTGTAATGCCACTGACCAGACAAAATTTTCCTTATAGCGTCACTGACACAGGGATATCACTCCACAGAGAGAGAGAGAAATGGGGTTTTAACGTCCACACGACACAATTTCGGGACTAACACATGGTTCAATTTTATTCAATAATTCGCTTGCGCGTAGGGGTCTTTAGCAGTGGGAGGAAACCGAAGAAAACCCACAAGGTTGGTCAGGCAACCCTACTCCTTGTCACGTACCACCGGGGAATCGAAACCCCGCCAGTTGACTCAATGACCGACTATGAATATCACTCCAGACATCCCAAGATTTCAGGAATATTAGGATAGCTTGATATTGCCTTTGAACCATCACGAGTCCAGTTATAATAGCATCACTGACAAGGGTAAATCACTCTAGAAATCCTGAGGTTCCAGGAACATTATTAGGCTACAACGGGTTAACCAATCTCATTAAAACACAGATCCTATTTCGTTTCGTTTTTATAGTTCAAAATTTCGTTTTACTTGTGTGAGGGATCAGCCAATAAAACGGTCTGTTACGGCGAGCATTAGCCATGTTGTGCACGGAACTGTGGGTAATCCACTAGTAACGTCAATGCTGATTGGTTCGTCAAATGTCTGACATCATTGGGTCAAAAGCCGCTCATATGACCTCTGACGTGACCTATGGCTATAACTGGTCAGATCTTCATGTAGTGTAGGCCATCGAAACGAAATATAGAGCTGGCCCCGAGTTACAAAACATTCTCAGACTTAAAGATACATTATGGGAGATTAGATAAAGAGCTGACAGTTCTCGCTATAATAGTTAAAAACTAGATGGTGTAAAGGTAATTTGCTGAAAATTTCAGTCAAATTGATCCACTATGAGCCGAGAAAGAAGCGGGTGAAATTTTTGCATAGTCTCGGTCATCATTACTAAAATCATTAATATAAACAGCATAGTCTCGATTATCCACTTTTTAAAAATTTAATTATCAATGGCCGTTAGCGGCATATAGGAATCTAATCCAGCCAACATCGAAGGCTAGCCTTGACATCGAGAGTTTATTATGGTCTGGATAAGTTAATTAATGTCTAATTGATAATTTAGATAACATTTCAGGCCTAAAGAAAGACTTGTAATAAGCAGATTTTGCTCTTGCATAATGCATGTTTAAGTTAAGAATTTACTCAACTTTCAATCACTGTTTATGAGAAATATCTTTGATCCAGAAACACAAAATTTTGTACATAGTTTCTTATTGATGTATTTGCTACATTAAAACAACAAAAGTTTAATAAAGGGCTATATTTTAGTTAAAATAAGGCGAACAATTTTGAGTAAATTCTTAACTGAAGTCTGAGAATGTTTTGTGAACTAGGGGCCTGTTTATTAATCAGACTGTGGGTTAACAAGACATTACTGAACCACCAGGAGTCGCAAACCAGCTGACTAAGTACACTGTAACCCAGGTATTGTTTAATCTTGTGTATCTAGCACTAATTTCTTTCACATTCCATATAATATCAAATCTTTGTTTAAAACTTTGTAAAAACTGTTTAAAATCACCAAAAATCATCTAATTTGTATATGTGTCCAGTTTAAAGCTGACTGATTAATTTTGATAATGAGTGTCCAATTTACAAGTATTTAATTTCTCACTTGTACCAACTGGGCTAATACACTGAAACCCGGGTATTATTTAATCTTGTGTATCTAGCACTAATTTCTTTCACATATGTTTAATATCAAACTTTTGTTTAAAAACAGTTTAAAATCGCCATAAATCATCTAATCTGTACTTGGACACATGTACAAATTAGATGATTTTTGGTTGGTGATTTTACACGATTTTTACGAATTTTTAAACAAAGATCTGATATTAAACACAAGATTAAATGATACCCTGGTTACAGTGATACTTGAATACTTTCTCTCCTGTTACTGTTAAAGAAATTAAGTAGGTTTGCTGTAATTGTTATTATAATAGTTTATTTACATTGATATATCATACAGTATAGCTGACCTATAATACAAATATACAGGAAGTAGAAAAACTAAATAATAAAATGAAAGTAGAACTAACCAAAAACAAAAGTAGAAGCTGTAAGATTTAGATAAAAGAGGTTTCTGTTCTTGCTATATTACATGTAGTTCAAAAAAAGATAATGAAAATGGATTATATTGAAACTTTCATTCAAATTACTTTATTCTAGGCGTAGGTGCGACTGTTAGAAGTTGTAGCATAGATCCAGATTTTGTTTCTCAATTATCCTTTTTATCAAATATTTATATATGTCGAATTTTCAAATTCATTTAATTAATAATTTATATCAGATTTGGAGACAGAATAAAGGCCTCCAATAGGCTGATTTAGCTCTTACATAATGTAGCTTGAATGCAGTTTCCACCAACACTAGAAATATAACAGTTTCCGTAGAGTGGAATATAGGAGGCCTGTAACCTATTAAGTGAAATATAACAGTTTCTGTAGCGTGGAATATAGGAGGCCTAGAACACAAGTGAAATATAACAGTTTCTGTAGAGTGGAATATAGGAGGCCTAGAACACAAGTGAAATATAACAGTTTCTGTAGAGTGGAATATAGGAGGCCTAGAACACAAGTGAAATATAACAGTTTCTGTAGAGTGGAATATAGGAGGCCTAGAACACAAGTGAAATATAACAGTTTCTGTAGCGTAGAATATAGGAGGCCTGTAACCTATTAAGTGAAATATAACAGTTTCCGTAGAGTGGAATATAGGAGGCCTAGAACACAAGTGAAATATAACAGTTTCTGTAGAGTGGAATATAGGAGGCCTAGAACACAAGTGAAATATAACAGTTTCTGTAGCGTAGAATATAGGAGGCCTGTAACCTATTAAGTGAAATATAACAGTTTCTTTAGAGTGGAATATAGGAGGCCTAGAACACAAGTGAAATATAACAGTTTCTGTAGCGTGGAATATAGGAGGCCTAGAACACAAGTGAAATATAACAGTTTCTGTAGAGTGGAATATAGGAGGCCTGTAACCTTTTAAGTGAAATATAACAGTTTCTTTAGAGTGGAATATAGGAGGCCTAGAACACAAGTGAAATATAACAGTTTCTGTAGAGTGGAATATAGGAGGCCTGTAACCTATTAAGTGAAATATAACAGTTTCTTTAGAGTGGAATATAGGAGGCCTAGAACACAAGTGAAATATAACAGTTTCTGTAGAGTGGAATATAGGAGGCCTGTAACCTATTAAGTGAAATATAACAGTTTCTGTAGAGTGGAATATAGGAGGGCCTGTAACCTATTAAGTGAAATATAACAGTTTCTTTAGAGTGGAATATAGGAGGCCTAGAACACATTAAGTGAAATAGAAAGCAAGAAAACTGAAACAAATATGATTATAAATTAAATAACAAAAGAAAGTAATCATATTAAATGAGAATGACAAAGTCTTGGGGTTTTTTTTTTACCATCATGGAAATTAACAAATTTTTGATAGGCCTATGTTGGGCCTATATATATTTTCACACAAACAACTATAATGTAGATTACATGGTGTACAAGGAGGTTAGTACTATATAAACTAGAAACCGAGCATGACGTCATCTTCATCATCTTGGAATGGTGACGACATATCAAAACCTATAAATTTATTCACAAATCTATAAGGAATAAACACCAGAGTGTGCATAACTCAGAACATTTAAAATTCCAGGAGTTTTCCAGGAGTTATTTACCAGATTTCAGGAGTCCCTGTATAGAATGTATTTTTATGATGCTTGAAAAACATTTACAGAGACGAACTCGTGAACTTTTGATGAAACATTTGATGACTACGTTCAGTTTTATATCTTAAAATATATAGCGAAATCACAAAAGTCAATTTTCCAGTAGTGGAAATCACGTTTTCATTTTTCCAGGATTTTCAAGGAGTGTGGAAACCTTGAGCATGTCTTAGGTTGTTTTACATAGTGCACCGACCGCCCCACCCCCCTCTCCCACAGAAGAACAACATAATGTGTTGTATTTCGGGGCCCAGTTACCCGTCCAATAATAATGAAACTTTCAAATTAGTGAGGAATGGAGTTTTGATCTACTAGAAATATTAATCATAATGGATGTATAAACGAGGTGTAAATAAAATTGAGCAAAAATAATGTAGTTTACAAAGATGTGAATTTGCAGGATGAGGATGATAGCAATACAACTTACACAAGATGGTGATAATATATGTTACCATGGCAATACAACTTACACAAAATGGTGATATATGTTTCCATGGCAATACAGCCTACACAAGATGGTGATAATATATGTTACCATGGCAATACAACTTACACAAAATGGTGATATATGTTTCCATGGCAATACAGCCTACACAAGATGGTGATAATATATGTTACCATGGCAATACAACTTACACAAAATGGTGATATATGTTTCCATGGCAATACAGCCTACACAAGTGGGTGATAATATATGTTACCATAGCAATACAACTTACACAATATGGTAATAATACAAGTTACCATAGCAATATAACTTACACAATATGGTAATAATACATGCTACCATATCAATACAGCCCACACAAGACAGAGGCATGTTACCATAACAAAACAACTTACACAAGATGGAGATAATATATGTTACCATATATGTCTCTATCATCCAGAAAAATATTCAATAATTCCCTAGTTTATTACAGGCCAAATTGAAATCTAATCAATAATTCATGATTGTATAAAATGAGTACTCATCTATTATTATCGATGCCATCTACACCGCATGTTTCGTAATAATTTCAATACATTTTATCAAACTGATTAAAAGACAGATCTTTTTATGCTTTCGATGGCCTACACGAAGATCTGACCCGTTGTAGCGAAAGGTCGCGTCAGAGGTCATACGAGCAGCTTTTGACCCTATGACGTCAAGACATTTGATTAACCAATAAGCATTGATGTTTCTAGTGGATTACCCACAGCTCCGTGCAAAAAACGCCTAAAGCTTGCCGTAACAGGCCATTTCATTGGCAAATTCCTTACACCATTTAGAACACGTCAATGATAACAACTCTTCCAGATCTTAGTGTAGTAAAGAAAAGTAGAACGAAATTTTGAACAATAAAAAACGAAACGAAATAGGATCTGTGTTTTAGTCAGATTGTATGTTTTATACAAATACTTCACCACATTTCTACCAATTTACGATATGTTAAAATATATGCACAATATTTTAATTAGTCAACTCTTTTAGGTTAATTTGTTACACAGATAAATTGGTACTTCTAGACTTTCTATACACAATGAATCTCTTGAATATTTACACAGGCAATCTCTTCTTTCCATTTATAACTCTTCTATCTTGGTTTCATGTATTCATACGGCTGACTGTTTACGACCTCGCAATTGTCTGGTTCCCGTGCGACTCGATTCTGGTGTAATTGATGAAGGCTAAAAGAAGGAAAAGAAAAACAAAATATTTACTATTAAAGTAAGATATAGAGAAACAAAACAAACATTGGGTAGTTTTGATGAAACACGTTTTCAATCATGGATTTTCCGAGGGAATACCACATACTACATGAAAAGAGAGAGAGAGAGAGAGAGAGGAGAGAGAGGAGAGAGAGAGGGCAGAGAGAGAGAAGAGAGAGAGAGAGAGGGGCAGAGAGGGAGAGAGAGAGAGGGGGAGAGAGAGAGAAGAGAGAGGGAGAGGAGAGAGGGCAGAGAGAGAGAGAGAGAGAGAGGGGGCAGAGAGGGAGAGAGAGAGAGAGAAGAGAGGAGAGAGAGAGGGGGAGAGAGAGAGGGGGCAGAGAGGGAGGAGAGAGAGAGAGAGAGAAGAGAGGGAGAGGAGAGAGAGAGGGAGAGGAGAGGGAGAGGAGAGAGAGAGAGAGAAGAGAGGGAGAGGAGAGAGAGGGGGGAGAGAGAGAGAGGGGGAGAGATAGAGAAGAGAGAGAGAGAGAGATGGGGTGTAAACCTCACCTCGAAAACAGACTAGGTCATTTCGGGACTAACATATGGTTTAATTTTATTTTAATAATTTGCTTGTACATTGGGGTCTTTAGCAGTGGGAGGAAACCGGAGGACCAGGAGAAAACCCATGAGGTTGGACAGGCGACCCTACTCCTTGTCATGTACAACAGAGGAATCGAAACCACGCCAGTTGACTCAATGAAAGACCTAATGATACAGCATGCATGTGCTAACCATTCGGCTATCCAACCCTCCCTCCGCAGTGTGGGGATAAAAATGTAGTACTAATGGTTAAAAATACGAACCACAAAAGCTCCGCATTCAAATGGTGGTGTAATATGAATTTCCTCTGTGTTATAGAGAATTCGCTTCTTACGACCTCGAGATTTCGTCTCTGTGTCTGGGGTTTCAGGAACTTCAGCTGGTTCAGATTTCTTTACTGCAGAATAAATTTGAGATTGTTTTTTATGGTTCAAAATTTCATTTTATTTGTCTTTACTAAACTAGGATCTGGAAGAGTTGTTATATAACCTGTGTTCTGGATGGCGACTTCTTGGCATGCAATGCACAGAAGTGTGGGTAAAAATGAAATGAAATGGGGTTTAACGTCCTACTGTTCTGCTCCTAGACTGGGCTAATGAAGACGGCATCGCCATACAGTGTGCTATGAGGGAAATTTTGCCTATGGCCTACTCTTATATCGAATTCCAAGTGTCAAGGGATCTTTTACATGAACGCCAATGTGTACACAGGACCTCGGTTTTTCGTCCCATCCGAACAATCTAGACAGCTGTCCTTGTCAGGACATCCATCCTGCATCAATGACAAGGGGAAACCACGCCGGAAAATCTGGATGAACTGTATTGAACACCCAACCTCCAAGCTAGCGAGCCAGTGCCTTACAGAATTGTGGGTAAACCACTAGACACATCAACGCTGATTGATTAATTATGTCTAACGTCATAGGATCAAAAGTCGTTCGTACGACCTCTGACGTGATCTTTTACTACAACTGGTCAGATCTTCATGTAGTGTAGGCCATCGAAAGTATAAACAAACGAAATGAAATATAGATCTGTATTTTAATTAGATGGGCATTTTACACCAACCAACAATTTATAACAGAAGGTCAGACGATTTGACTTATACCTGATCTGGTTAAAGGGGAGCTAACACCATTAAAAGCTTCTTCTATTTTATCTTTCGCTACACGCTTCGCTCGTCTTCCTGGTCGACGTCCACCATCTTCACAATCTTCCTCTTCTTCCTGTTGGCATTTGGAAAAGAAAGAGGTATAACGTCAGGTCAACAAACAACAGCTTTAACATCGGGTCAACAACCAGCAGGTTTAAAGTCAGGTCAACAACCAAAAGGTTTAACGTCAGGTCAACAAACAACAGGTTTGTCAGGTCAACAAGCAACAGGTTTGTCAGGTCAACAAGCAACAGGTTTAATGTCAGGTCAACAACAAATTGAAGTCAAATTTTCTTTAGTACATTACTGGGGAGAGTATTAACTTAATCCATACGTTTTCCAAAATAATCCTCTATGGTACTATATCAGAGTAACCAACACAAGAACAACACAGACAACAAAATAATCCTCTGTGGTACCATATCACACTACCACAGACAATTGATATTGTAGAAGTTGAGAACAGGGTGTAATAATATATCTACCTTTATGTCGATTAAATCTATGGCCGTTTCTTCTGGTTCTGTTTTTATTTTAGCAGCTGTTCTTCCTCTTCTTCGTGTTTTTGGTACCTGAAGATATTAAATATATAATACAGGTGAGTTATTGCACCTGATGATATGATACAGGTGAGTTATTGTACCTGATGATATGATACAGGTGAGTTATTATACCTGATGATATGATACAGGTGAGTTATTATACCTGATGATAAGATACAGGTGAGTTATTGTAGGTGAGTTCTAATATACTTCATGTCTAAACCCATATCAAGTTCAAAACTGTGTGATATAAGCATCTCATCTATATTATAATATATGTTTACGCTATCCTGACCAGGACAAACCATTTATAGTCGGCCAGATCAATTCACACGTCAGTCAATACATTCATATAAGGTTTTTTAAAAGATATGGTGCGTGGGCGTATAAAAGTCCATAAGGAAGATAACTCTAAAGTTAAGTTTTGAAAAGTTTCATTTTGATGAGATACTTCGACCAAAACTCAGGTATCATGTAGTTTTTTTGGAGTTTTTGTATTCCAAGTTTAGTTTCTGACTATTGGGAGGGGCGGGGGGGTGGTGGTGGTTGGATGTGGATGGCCAAATGGTTAGCATATATGTGTTGTATCATAAGGTCTGTCATTGAGTCAACTGGTGTGGTTTTGATTCCCCGGTTGTATGTGACAAGGAGTAGGGCCACCTGTCCAATCTTGTGGGTTTTCTCCGGGTCCTCCAGTTTCCTCCCATTGCTAAAGACCCCTACGCGTAAGCGAATTATTGAAATAAAATTAAACCATATGTTTGTCCCGAAATGACCTAGTCTGTTTTCGAGTGGATGTTAAACCCCATTTCTCCCTCTCTCTCTTTCTGACTATTGTTGTTAAATTGTTCAAATTCATTGAGAATCATTAAAAACTATTGGATTCCTATTGTTGTGTAGTTTAAACTAGTCCGTCTAGATTAGATAATGAATGTTTGTAGCACTTTGGTCCTTAAGACAATATTGGTTCTTTGTAAAATTGTTGCTTCACTCTGTCTATAGAGTCAAATCACACGTACTTAATGAACGTGATTATATAGTTATACATAAAAAAAAAACAGTGATATTTTCGTAAAATCATAACCATTGTCAAAATATCCATCAAATTCTGGCTGTTAATTGAACTATGGTTGGTAGACCAAATAAGGTAACGTCTCCTCCTTTAGTCATGTGAAATAAAGAGGTTTATTCCATATTGAGGATGGAAATTAACGTCAAGCCTATCTAAAAGAGCGAGTTGGATCAGAGCTCATTCAGAAATCCCTAGCAGCTATTCAAAGTCATTACAGCTTAGCAAAAAAGTTGTAAAACCATTGAAGCTTTAGTCTTGTTACGATCACGAAGAAACAAACACAAGAAAAGAAGTCCTGTAGTACTACATTTTACGATTGTTTACTTTTTGAAAACCATTCGAGAAAGTTGTAAATCAGACATTTGAAGCATTCCATGAAATTTAAAAACAAGCTGATCAAAACTCTAGGGTTGTAGAGCAGTGTTTCGCAACCTTTATTTGCCAATGGCACACCTTGGACCACATGAATAAAATAATGGTACACCTGGCTAAATATATATGAAAAATATTTGAATTTTGCAGAACAAAAATATGGTAAGTTAGACGGAATACAACCGTAGACAGAGACTAGTCATAG